AATTTAATTTTTAAAATTGAAGTGTCGTAAATGTTTTAATTTTAATCTTTTATATTAAAAATTTTAATTTTTAAGGAATTATAAATTTAACAAGCAATTAAACATTGCTCAGTTACAATATTTACATACTTAAAATGATGATGCATTTTTTGGAGCCAACAATTGAGGATTCTAAATTTCGCAAATGGACTTACAATTTGTGTTAAACTTATAAAAAATATGGAATTCCAATTTCCAACCCAAAATTTGGAATTAAGGTTTCATCAGATATAAGATTGCAATTTTCAGATTTGAAATCTTAATTTTTATTTTTTAATTCAAGTGTTATTATTGCCCCCAGAAAACTTCTCGCTCTTTCGAATGCCCAAAGGCTCGATCTGGAAAAGAGTCTTCTTCTTCTACTCGTGGCCCATAAAGTTCATTCTTTTCTGCACCGTTCCTGACCCTCAACGCTACCCCAAACTCTTCCCCGTGACATTTATCCTTTGCATTTTCTGGATCGGATCAAACTCGTACGTGGTATCCTGGATGATTGCTATTATAGGTATTTATATTTCTTTGGCCTAAAAATAATTTTATTACATCCTATCTGTTATTTATTACAGGCAATATGTTTAACATATCTGATGCAGTGTTGGGTTTAACTTTCCTAGCAGCAGGAGGTTGTCTTCCCGAAGCGATTTCGATCACGATCATGTCTCGAAGAGGTATACACTTTGGGAGAAAAACCGAACTTGAGAATTACAATCGATTTTTAATTTATTACAGGTGAAGGGTCAATGGGAGTATCAAATTCGCTGGGCGCAAACACAATGAATATTTTGCTTTCATTAGGCATGCCTTGGTTCCTGAAAACAATCGTTATGGGAACAGACGAAAATGCTTTCATCCAAATAACTTCAGGTTCTATAGAATACACAATTTCAGCTTTAATACCAGTCGCGATCATCCTCTACCTTACTTTTTATTTCAACAAATTTCAGATGTGTAGGAGAGTCGGCATTATTCTCATTTCAGTTTACACTATTTGTATCATATTGGCCATTCTAGCCGAAATGGTATTTTTTAAATCGGAAGATTGTCCGACTTCGTAGCAATAATTAGAAAAAAAATTGTAAATAAATCAGTATTTAAGTAACTTGTTGAATCATGTAATAAATTTTTATACGAAGATCGTGTTGCGTTTGATTTGAGATAATTAGGTGCGAGACGTGTAATAAATTGGATTCGTTCAGGGGTGAAACGTAAAAATCAGTAAATCCCCAATTTAACACGTGTGGATGCACAACGTTAGTGATCAATGAAGACATCGTAAATAACTCTAGCGAGGTTTTTATCACTGATTTGAGAAAGCAACAAAACATTTGATGCGAAAGAATTATTTTATCTCGGAGACAGTGTATGATTTTTAAACAGAGATATTTGTAATGCTCAATGGGGGGTCAGATATTTTTAAAACAGTTTAGATTTCGGAATAATTAATTGGTTGGGAAAAGACGGTTTGTGTAGAGAGGTCATTAGTGAGTCACTGATATGTATCTATGTACATGCAAGACATAAGACATACATGCACCCAATCAAATTGACCATTATTTTTTAAAACCTACTTTCAGAAACTTAACACTTATTTCTGTATATTTTGTTTTTTAAAGACTACTGATATTTAAATGTAAATTTTATTACTAATGAGTATGACTAGACGGAGTGTTAAATATGACATCCAGAAATCTGAATACACATCTTCGCCACCCCCAACGTTACTGAGAATTTTTTTTGTAAATATACAATTTTTTGTGTAAATATTTCAATGTATGACATAGTATCATGCCTTCAATGAAATTACTGATAAAAATGGACTGTGACTGTAAAATTAATATGACAACATTAAATAATATAGATTAAGGGTGTACATACTATATATATTTATAACATTTCAAGTAAAAATGCAAAATCCAAGCCAATAATACCATATACTGACCTATGTACTGTTCGGTTAAAGCATATTAAGTGATATCATAGTATTACTACGATTTTTTTATTACTTAAGTAAGTTTGAAACTCAAACTAATAATAAATTACTAATCAAGACATTTTTAACAAAAATTGGCTCTCATTGCAGTTAGTACACAAAAAAATGAAATGTACCTACTCTTATTGTTTTTATATATCGAACTAATTTTAAGATTAAATTCATTTGTTTTTTCTTTTCTTTTTTCAATGTTTTTGTTTCTTTACCTTTATTTTCTCAACTTCCTTTACTTTTACTTTTTGTTCAAAAGCAATTGTTTGGCTTTCCTTTTTTGCCTTTTTTCTTTCTAGCCGAAGTCAATTCTCGTTTTCTTTTAGTATATCTTTCTTCATCTGGACGCTTTAAAGTTTTTGTTTTTATTTTTTCATTTAATTTTTGCGACTTTTCCCACTTTTTTATTTTTTTTCAAAGAAATTTATTTAGATTTTCTATACTTCTTTATTTTGCTTTTTTTGTCAGTAAATGCAAAGTGTCTTATTTACATTTTTTTTCATATCTTCTTTTTTTGTTTAATAAAGTATTTTTTAAAGACTAATGGAGAAGTTTAACTCTTGATAAGAATGCATTTTTGCAATAGTTTCTTAATTTTTATCAATTCAAAAAGCATGCCTACTGTTTTTTATTTATTTTAAAAGAAGTTTACAATTTTTTACAATTACAATTACCCAAATTGTTTTCGAAAATAACCTCCCTACTAAAACAAGTAAAATTGCCTTAATTAAACAAAGCTATTCCAGCGCATGTTGCCTTTATAATCAACTAATAAAACCCATGCTTTATCTATTCGCTTCTTAGTATTCTTGCTAATCACGTTATAAAAGAGTTAAGAGTAATTCACCTCCAATTAGCTAATTTGCTAGTTATATATATTACGTTCAGTTTTATCGAAAAGTCTCGTAGATCGTGATCACATTAACCCACTTTCAGTAATAATTTGAAACAATTCCCAAATCAGAAAGTGCGCAAAATTGCAAGAGTTGACACCTCAAGTGCAATTTCGCTGAAATTGAAATTATTAGCCTGAAAATCTCGTTGAGATTCCCTGCAATCCTGTCACCACCAGGCCTAGAAATAAAAAATGCATTCAAATTGCAGCGATGATTGAAAAAAAAATAAAATCGAATCCCTGATTGATTTTATTGTTCCTAGGCTGGCAAATAATTCGGTTCAATTTAATTACGGTCTGACATCGCCCTTAGACTAGTTAATTAGCTAAAGCTTAGGTCTAAGATTACCACAACGCAAGTTGCGTCACAAAAACCTGCCATAAAGCGATCAAAGCTCACCGAAATTCACACTTATCTTGTCACTTTTATTTACAAAACGGCCGGTTTATTATATTTATTCCGGGCGAAAATCTTGCGATAATTGCAAAAGCTCGGGCTGAAACTGAAAGTGAGCATTCGCGCGCAGAGCTTTCGGAAACATCACAGTTTAGGTTGGAACGCGCTCCCAACATCATCCTATTGTAATCGCACGCAAATATTTGCGAGTAAATATTGTAAAATTTGCGGTTAATTGTTTTGATCAAGAGGCGGCATGAATTCCAGTGATTGCACCTGAACGCGAAACCGACTCTTCTGACGGCTTTTGATGGGATAAATCAACTTTTACACGTAAGTAGTGACTGAAATAAATTTTTGTGTTTTATCCAGTGATTAGTAATTGTGCGATTGTGTAAATCTGGAAACTGTTTAAGTTAAATAAACCATCGACAAGGTGCGAATTTACGATGCGACTTGGTTCTAATTAAAAAACAGACGCTTTTGTGTCTCGTAAAAGCATTGTTTACTTTTTAATCCGTTTTATAGTCGGGCTTTAATTCGCAGCTGTTTTTATTTGCGTCACAAATTTTTAAATTTTGCGATTGCATTGAGAGAAATTTACTTAAAATTAATGTTCGCCATTTATTATTCGAGTTTGGATTAAGTTTGTGCTAAATTTAAATAAGAATTTCATAATAAAACATCTTGACTGAAATGTAGGGTTTATGACTCTTGATTTCATTAAATAAATTCCGCTTTTTATCGTCTTAGATCGAATTTTGAATGGCAATAACTTAAACTTCCAATTAAGTATTTGTCACGTCTTTGAAAACGATTGCAAAGTCCTCGAGTCGTTTTTTAATATACTTCAAGAAAGGATCAAGTTTTTCCTATTTTGCGACACAAAAGTTTCAAAATTTATTATTCTCGCAAGAGCTACATTTCACGCTTTGAATACATCTTTCCGCCACTAATGCGAAAAATCTGTTGACAATATTTGAACTGCATCTGAGACGTCAATAAATTCTTGAATTAAAATTCTAATTGGACACATAACACTTCATAAAATTTTTGACGCAATACTTTTATGGCAATTTCGGTCGGAAAATTGACACAAGGTTTAATTGCTGGCACTAAAAGTTTATCAAGGGCCGCCGAGGTACGTCACGTTTTTATTGATAAATTATTATATTGCAGTTGATAATGATAAAAGGGCAGGTATCGTGGAATAGATTCAGGTTTAATAAAGCTTAAACTGGCGATTTTTATTGGGGTAGAAAATGGACGTCAAAGCTTACACACAAAAGTTATTAAAGAGGTTTTTTTCACTTAAACTTTAAGGATTGATTGCCGCTACTTGAACTAATTTAATTTGAAAAATAGGTTAACTAGGACGTGGGAAAAGTCAGTTTGTTTTTATCCTTTTTATAGTCAAAGCAAAGTTTTTTTTAATATAGATAGATACCATCAATCATTTTGTAAACAACCGTGTCTATATAATAATTCAAATAAATTTCGTGCATTTCCATCACAAACATCGCCAAATAGCAATAGACTGCGGTAAAATAAATTATAAAAATGTTAGAATATAAAGGGAGATTCTCCCTCGAATAATCCAAACCGTGTCAGCTATGCTGATGTATGCCAGACACGCATTGGTGTAACAATTTGCATCAAGCCGCGTCAACAATTCCAAATATTGGATTTTAATTCGATCATGAATGCAAAATGATTTTTTACAAAAACAAGCTGAGCCATAAAGTTGTATTTTAATAAGGCGCTAAAATAAACAATTTCGTCTATTTTTATTCCGAATTTATTATTTTTTGATTAATTTCTTGCGCCGTAAATTGTTATTAAAATAGACTGAAAGGATTGTATTTGAAATTCAAATCAGGCCTTGCTGGTAAACAGCGATAAGCCACTAAAGGGAAAACTTGACCGGAATTGTATATCGGCAAGATATTTCCAATTTTTGAGACAATGCGTTCCGAACAACAATTGTAACATTTTATTAGGAATTTAAATGTCGACTAAAAGAGCAAAACGAGGCAAATCTCGGCTTTTTGCGGAATTAGGGTGACAAATGGATGTATTATTCCTGTACATTTTTTTCCGACACATATTCCTTAATAAAGAAACGTGAAAGGGTGAGATAAGCGGCACAATTTTGCAATTATTTTTCAGAAAAAAAATGACTAGGTTTTTCTTTTCAGTTCTTTATTTTGAATTACAGAGAATTACACATTAAACATCTTTATTTATTTTTTGTCAAAACAAATTATTCCAAAGGCCTGGAGGTGTGTCTACTAGATCCAGGCGTTTCAAGCTGGTTTATCTTATCCAGTCTAAGAAAAGATCCAGCACTTTGTAGAAAACTCCGAGCCATACTTGGCGATCGTGAAGAAGATGATGATTCGGAGACTGCGGGTTTGGCTCGCTTTTTCGTCTTCCGGACATCAAGTGCGAACATTAACTCTACTTTCAGTGCTTGCATGTACGAAATCTGTAAAAACGTAATAATTTTGACAAAATAAAAATGTCAATAATTACGTGTTCATCGACTGAAACGCTCCGGACGTTCCATAAAAATTCTAAAATTCCCACAATATATGCCAGAGCCAAGCCCACACCTAACACAATGAATACACCACCCACGTTTTGTAAAGCTAATTTATTGGCGTCTTGGTCCTCGGCTTCTTTCTGAAATGATAGTTCGAWTTTTTTTATTATTTCATCTGAAAATATATACCGGACATGGGGGTTCACTTCTTTTTTCTTTCCACCACTTATCTTTTAATCGATTTATTTCACCTTTTTCTTGCATCCTGAGTAAAGCTTCATTAATGCGACTTCGATGTGGATAATCTAAAGGCATCGCAATCCCATATCCCTTGCTGTCTAACCAATTCCCGACTTGCTTTAAGTCACACTTGGTCATGATTTGATACTCAAGTGTTGAGGATTCCATTAAGAAGGCATAAAGCCGGTTTTTGGTGTTTTGAACTCGAGCAACACCGTCGTCATTACTTTTTTCAAAAACAGAAGGTTTACTTTGTTCCATGCTAGTCCACATTCGTTGATAAAGCGAATAGTTTGAATCCCTGAAAAAATTTTGTGTCGAACCCCCTTCCAAAGTTCCATATTTTATTTTCGTTTGTTTAGCTAAATCCTCAGCACTGTTTATCGATGCTTGACTTCTCTCATTCGTCAAAAACGCAGCCAAATTCGCCATATACGAATTGGTGACGATTATACTGAAAAACCACCACATTGAAGCCGCCATTCTTGGAGCCAACCCCCTTCAAAAAATAATTAATCTCAGTTTGTGAAAACTTAGAAATTACTTTGGAAGAATATCACAGCCTTGGTTCATTATCGACCCAAGAGTGAGCCAAAGACAGTTTTTCATATCCCAGATATTCTCAAGCTCTTCGGGTTCCTGCTCACAAGGGTGCGGATTTTCCCAATCTTGGGGCGAAATCCTACAAAACAGTTAACACAAAAAAAATCATACAAAAATTACAAACCTCGAAATAAAAAATAAGACGACTGTTATGCCAAGATACAGGGTGGCTGAATATAACCACAATTTTACTGAAAAGGGGTCCAAAAACGCGTACATGTTCGCCTCTTTCGCTTCCGCCTTTTTGTACAAAATACTGATCCCCAAACGCATAAAAGGGGTGCTAAAGTCGACGACTTCTCTCCGTTCGGGGGTAATGGTCAGGTCGCAAATAGCCAATTCGGCCCTCTAAAACCCAAAATAAATCAACAATAAATTTTGAAAACTGGGATCCAAAACATAGTTTTTTTGAACACAACTAATGATTTTTTGCACGATTTTTTTAGTGTCTCAGATGCATAATCCGAAATTATTACTCTGTCTAAAATCTCGCGGACTAGGCCGTTCCAAGATTTGGTGGCTTTGTCGTAGGCCCCCCGTTGCCCACTCTCGAGAACTTCAAATTTAAATTTGATATTTAGATCCTTGGCCAACAACGCTATTAAATCCATTGAAAATCCCTCGTAGCGATTATTGCCTTCGAGGAGATCAGTTTCTGACTTTGGTTTTTTCTTCATGAGGTAGGGAGGCCCTAATCTATAAACAAATTTGAAAAATGGTTCAGAATTTTTGCGACGTACATAGAAGCAACCGTGACAATTCCCTCGCTCCATTTCCGTTCCAATTCTTTATTTCGGTCTTCCTCGCTTTTAAAAAATTGCAAAACGTCGGGATCCGAAGGGTTCCATTTAGCCACAACATCATCTCGATTGCCTTCGACCACGAAAATGGAAAAATTGGTCCTTCGGCCTAAATGATCGAACTTCATAGGAGTTGTTATGCTGTATAAACCTTCGGTTTCGTGAGTGTACTGAACAAGAATAAACTCAAAACATAAGTTTGTTAAGTGTTTTCAAATAAGTACCGCTTTCATAAATGAAGCAATGTCGAAACCAGGCACCCATTTATCATCTACATTTTCACAGCTCAATTTCGTCGGTTCGACTGATTTTCCTGTGGCGTGCAGATCTGTGATACATTTCAAAAACATGTGGACCGAGTCGTGCATCAAGGCTGTTTCTGTCTATAAATAAATAAAAAATTACAAATATAGGTACCCATTTAAACCTTTGCAAACGAATTTACGAGAGGGGACTAGGGGATTGAATGTTACTTATTGTAGCATAAAATTTAAAACTCTCTAATTCTATGCCCTGTTTTGTGTATAACACTGAGTGACACTAAAATCCTCCTTTACACGAAAGTAAGTGTACTTTATGTTTAATTTTTATTGGAGGAATTATTTTGAAAAAATTCGTTATTGTAACTAGCTTTGAGCATTTTTATAGTCACTTTTTTGTTCAGAAAAAAAGTAAAAGGTAGGTGGTTTCCATTGATTTTTTGATGCAAAATCCAAATTTGAAAACCGTTTGTTTCAATCGGTCTTGCTTTTTCGGAAATAAAGTATCTGTATTCAATTACCAGTCTACGAACGAGAACTTTATACTAATTCTCCTATTGTATAACTTCTTCTCATAATTCATAGATTACAAAACCCGTTTTTTATTTAGATATAAAAATTAATTTTCAGTTCAAAATCCTTAAATTTAAATCAGAAATCTGCTGATACCTACACAAAATCGTAAATTTCGAGGTACGATTTTCCTCAGAATAGAAGACGTATAACTCCACACAGATCAACTTTTTTTAATATGTTACTTGAATAAAAATAATTATAAGAAAAACAAGACCGATAGAAAATTTGGATTCTACATGAAAATATCAAAAGGGACCACCTATTTTTGATCATTTCTGTAAACAAGAAAATGCCAATAAGAACACTCAAAAAGAGGCAAAAAATACGATTTTTATTATTTGAAGTCAGATTTAAACCAATAAAAATTTAAACGGTTTTTATGTCTGCATTCAAGGCCCCGAAAAACACAAAAACATTTCGTTTAAGGTAGGGGAAAAATTTAATTTTAAGGTCAGAGCCCCTTAGACAAAATTCCTAATTACGCCCTTGCGTACCTTGACGGAATACGGATCCAGACCAACGCCCGGAATATTCATTTTTTTCATATAATTATTCCAATTGCTGATTGCGGTTTTAAAATTGTCGCTTTCGGGTTCAAAAATCCGAACTGTTGTTACGTTTACAGAGGAGTTTAAGACTTTCAAATCCACCGTATGTGCGTCCTAAATCGAATTTTAAATCAAACAAAACAACTCTGCGAGCAAATTACCAAAGAAGTTAGAAAGTAACTAAAGTGTGGCTCTAACAACTTCAATTCTTTAGCTTGGCGCAAAATTGGAACGATATTTTCAGTTTTACAGTCGAGTATGATTCTGTATTCGCTCTTATTTTGGATTTGCTTCAATGCAGATCTAAAAATGCGCCTAAGAAGTTGGAATCTTATCAGAATTTTTCTTGCCTATAGTCGGGTCCTGGTCCTAGCTCTTTGAGCATCAAAGAGTTGTATTTATTGCCCGAATTATAGTCCTGCGTTTTCAAAATATCCTGAAGCCGAATTAAATTTTCTGCCGTTTCGTAAAACACAACGATGCTCCTCCATTGCAGATTCCTGACTATGGCCCTAAGTCCTTGGAAAAGCAACGTGGGGACAGGGTAAACGTTGACCAGTATATCTGTGTAAGTCGCAGAAGGCCTCCAACCGACCTGAATGGCGGGAATATTTAAATTATCTCCGACCGATTCGACAATTGGAGCTATTTTTGCCGATGTGGGACAGAAAACGCCGCCTACATTGCTCGTTTCGACGATGTCACACACTGGAAATATTCGCTTCAAAAATTGAAAACTTTCTCAAAATTCTTACAAGATTTGCTGTTTTCGAAACTGTCAGTCGTGTTGACGACGAAAGACATGGGGTTGAAACGAATTTCGTCCTTCATAGTGTTGAGATTAGAAATCGCAGTCTGGAAGGCGATTTCTGAGAGTCCATTTTTCTCGTCGAAGAAACCGACTAGGACAACATGAAACGATTTTTCTCGCCGAAATATTTACTCACCCACGTCCACATTTAATGGCTCGTCTTGTGCCAGAGACATGTAGTTGTAAACGGCAAAAAAAAACCACCAGATCACATTTTGGTAGGCAATTTTCATGTTTAGGCCGACTTTAAACCGACTAAAGTGTCATAATTATCGGGACGCGTTTATGTTCTTAATTCTAAAATAAAATTGAAATGGTGCCAGTTTAATTTTGTGGTTGGCACGACGTCGGTCAACGGAATGCTCATTTCCGTAGCAATTAGTATGATTAAAAAAATGGAATCGATATTTTGCACGGAGTGGCAGTGAAGATTCAAGAGTCGGTTAAAATACCTATATCAAAATCGTCTGACGTCACAAAAAGCACCATACATCACTTGCGGGGCATATTTATGACAATCATATTGATTTATTCCAAAAGAAAAAATTTCGCCTAGTTCCAAGTTAATCAATTTAGGACAGGGAGTCTGATATTACAAAATTATTACCTGCGAAACTCGATACAAAGGCTTAGCCTCCAAACCTGCCACAATTTCATTTTTGGTACATACATAAAAAAACATTGATTAGTTACTACTAGTTAGAAAAAATAGACATAAACACAAGAAAAGCTGATTGTTTTCTATTCCTCTATTTGCGCAATTCGGTAATTGCTTAATTCGATATCTTGTAGGTGCCAACACTCCTTCAAAATAAACATCCGGTCTTAATAACCCGTTCTATTAAGGCTGAAAAATCACTATTGATGCAAATTGCTTTCCATCACGTCAATTCAACGTCACTTGTAATTTTTCAGGACTTTCATGAATTTTAATCGATCACGTGACAAAATGAAATAATTCAAGTTTTAATTAATTTTGTTAGTTTTTGGCTTCCTGGTGTTCGTCATGTCCCGTCGTTGCTTTATTATCCCTATTCATAAACAAATCCGGGATTTAGTTTCACCCAGAAATAATTTGATGGCGCACGGAAAAAGCTTAATTTGCAGTGTATCTGCATCCTTGGATAATTGCATAAGGATTAAGCGCATTTCATTACTCTGCTCTAGATAATTGAAAATTGTTTGAGATGTATTATTTTAAAGAGTAAAATGGTGTAGATTAGCGATTTTCTTGTTAAAAATTATTCATTGAGTGAAATTAATAAATTAGGCGTAGTTTATTTTTACTTTTGATTTATTTATCCACTCGCTGGTAAGGAAAACAGTTTTTGTATAACAAAATATTTACTCTGTCGGTTGATTCGGGAAGACAAGCCGTCGCACTGTACTTATTTTTAATCCCGAATTTAATCTCGTAAACTTTAAACAAATTGGAGGTAAAATAAACAATATTTCATATTTAAGTGCTCCTGTCGTGCTGATCCTTTTATCATCGGACGCTCCGCACGTTTTTTATTAAATACGAATCGCTGGAAGCACAAATTCAGATCATTTCTAAGCGAAAATTTCTCATTGACGATAGACACAATCGCATATTAAATATAACTTCCGAGATTCATGTAGGAGTTTACCCTGGATACGTCTTCGGGATAATAAATCTTGGCCTTTTGTTGCAGGAATTTTCGGTCAACAATGGACGTTACAAATGGGACTAATTGTGGTGGAAAATACACCAGACCTGGTATGTTTACTTTAGCTAATGGTGTTTATAAAAGCTGACATCTGAAACCGAAATATTCTTTCGAGATAATATTTAATATATCGACGATTTTTGAAAAAAGGACATTGATTACTTTGCGGCGCAAAAATGAAAGGGTGCAAATTGTGGAAACAAACGGTAATTAAAAAAATCAAGGAAGCGGAAATTATCCTACAAATTCATCTATTCAGATCGACGCAGGATACGAGCCATGTTAGTTTAAGCGTCTCGCAACACGCCGTTTGGAAAATAATTATTTACACTTGGAATAATAAAGTGCTGTAATTACTGCTTCTTAGCTAATTATTATTGAAGTCTTGCAGTAAAGTAATCTTTTTTTTTAATTTAGGGCAAAATTTCTAAGCCAATGAAAAGTCGTTGGTTCAAAAAACACATTCTTAGTTTAAAAGCAGATAAAAAATTGCAGCAAACTGTTTTATCCATTTTGAATGATTTTTTATATAATTTTAAAGAATCTCAAATAAGTTGTGTGTTCAAGAATTCTGTATATTTTTTGAGTAAGCGTATTTTTTTTTCATATCTATAAAACTTGTTAATTTATTGTTATTGAGCGACAAAATAGAAAATAGAATGTAATTGAAATAGAGAAGAGACAAATGTAAGTTTTTCTCTGATTCTTTAGTGTAAATTTTTTAACGAAAATTATTTTGCCTTTATTAAAAGTAAATTCTAACTTTTTTGATATTTACCATAAAGTTCTAAAAAATTCTGCACCCTTACTTATGTAAAATTCTTTAAACACACAATTCCAGATATTTTTTAAATACCTTGTTTATTATTAAAAAATATTTTAAAAAATAATTAATAAATTAATAAAATTTTTATTTTTTTTAAATTCTGTTAAATTCTTACGCATTTTCTTTTAATTATTTCAGAATTAATTAATTCAGACACACGTAACATAATTGACCGGTTACACAATAAAAGCAATAAATAATTCAGTGGTTGTAATATATTTGGATTTAACATTAATTTAGTTTCTAAAATAGAATAAAAAGATTCAAATCAGTATAGATGTGATCCAATTAAATATTGATATGTTACAAAAAATATTTTTTTGTAATATAATTCAAGACGTAAGTTAGTATTAAGCTTTTTGTCTTTTGCTCTTGCAAAATTGTAAATTCGTCGAGAAAAAAATAAGTTTATAACAACTTCCACAATTTAATACTACATAATACTTTATAAAAAATTAGAAGAGATAGTAAACTGAAAACAAGATCATCAAATTTCTAAATAAATTTTTAAATAATGAGATTTTTATTTGTAATTTTGTTGTTTTATTTTTGGAACATGAAATAATAAAGAGCTCTGCACAGCTGAAAAAACAAAATTAATTTAGGTTATTGTCCGGAAATCTTCGACGAGGAGTTATGTTGGCCGGAGACTCTAGGGGGCACCACTGTGAACCAATCCTGTCCGAAAAAAATGGGCTACGATTCCCGCCGTTTGGCATATAAAGACTGTCTCGAGAACGGCTCTTGGTTCAAACACCCCATCTCCGGCAAAATCTGGACCAACTACACCACCTGCGTAGACCACGAGGACTTAGCCGTAAGCCCCCATCTCAACTTTTTCCATTCATAACCGCCACTGTCTTCCAGTTCCGAACTCACATAAATCACCTATTCGTCATCGGCTATTCGATTTCATTAGCGGCGCTCGTCATCTCGCTCGCCATTTTTCTCACTTTCCGGTGAGTTAACAAACTCTTTCACCCGGAGCGCTAACCGGACTTTCAGGACACTGAAATGCACACGGATCCGCATCCACATCCAGCTATTTATCTCGTTCGCACTCAACAACCTCATGTGGATCATATGGTACAAAGAAGTCGTCCCTAATCCTTTCGTCACCATACGCAATGAGGTAACTTAGGATTAAGTCGCAAGTAAACTTGGTTTAAGCTCGGGATTTGCAAAATTAATATTCATGACTTGACAAATAGTTGGCATTCCGGGCACATGCAACTCTGTTCACGGAGGAATTTGCTGCTCCTGAAAACGCTCTTTATATTCTCTTTCATCTTGATTTTCAGCTCTGGTGTCAGGCTCTCCATGTCGTTGTACATTACTTAATGTTGGCGAATTACATGTGGATGTTCTGCGAGGGTCTGCATCTGCATCTTGCTCTAGTTGTTGTCTTTGTGAGAGATGAGGAAACAATGAAGTGGTTTTTCGCGCTGGGGTGGGGCGCGCCTTCCATCATCGTCGTCATTTACAGCGTTGTGAGGATATTCATCCTACAGGATAACTACATGTAAGCAAAATTAATTTCAAGCTAACCAAATCAATTTTAACGAGTTTCTAATCACTGATTTTTTTATGAAAAAAAGCGCCGTATCTGGGTGAAATTAAAGTTAACATTCAGTATCTTATGCGAATTATTTACTGATTTTTGATTATAAATAAGACAATAACAGCTATTAAGACAACAAGAGTTTTAAACTATAAAATTTGTGTTGTCTTTAAATTTTTTTTCAACAGAAATCATAAATTTTGCCAAAATCAGAAATTATTATAAAGGAATTTGTCAAACTAACCTCTAAATTGACAAAATTCCAAGACAATTGTATTTTAGAGGTGAGCGGGACGCAAGGGCCAAGGGGGCAACAAGAAGGTGCCGTTTTATGGTTTCTCGCTTACATCTCGAAAACGATGCATGTTACGAAAAAAATAATTATGTACTACATTAAAGCTGAAAAAATTTCCTACAAGACAGTCTGTTTGGTTTTTTTGTATCTTAAATAGTTTTAGAGATAACGATTAAGAAATATTGCAATACTTAAAAAAAAACTTTTTTTGTCTCATTTTGGATTAGGGTACCTTAATGTCACGTTTAGTACAGGTTGGTTATAGAATGCAAATGTCCTGTAAGCCCCTGCAGCTTGTAGAAAACAGTTCATTCGTACCTACCTTTTAAGAAAGTGAGGTTATGTTTCAATTTTTGCATGAAAATATTCGCAATCGAAGAAAAATTTCACTTCCACATCCTCGTCGACAATTTATCTTGTATTTGCAAGCACGAAAGATGGGTAAAACACTAACATTGCTATTTCTATTTTAAGGTTAATTAGGGTTTTATTTATTTCAAGCCCTAGGTACAGCAGGTACACCGAAATGTAAGGTGCACATTCGTTGTCACAATTTAGCAATACCACTCACTGATAACTGATAAGCGATACCTACTCACAATCATAATAATAGTCACAAGAGCGCATAATAATTTCATTAAAAATTTTAGGTAATTCTTTTAATGAATGAATGCAAATCTAAATTACCAATTTCGAAACATTTTTGAATGAAACTAAAGTGTAAAGTGATTGGTTTCTCCATGGTTACCTACTCACATATAATGATGGCCGACCTTAAATGGACCAATCACTTCATTGCATTAATTTTTGAATGAAACCAAAAATCTAAAGCGATTGGTTTTTTATATTAAAATGATGGCCGACCATAAACTGCCCAATCACAATGCTTACAAATTTTACAACTATCTTTACGTTAATTCCTTATTTTTTTTATTCCAATTATAACAAATAGAGTGCAAAAAGATAATAAAAATCAAAAACACCGCCTTATAGGAAATTTTATAAGCTTTAATTTTGTACAAAACCATTTTTTTTCGTAACACATACCGTTGTGTGGATATAAAGAGAAAAATCATAAGATGACCTTCTGGGTGTCTTCCTGGCCCAGTTCACTGCAGAGGACCGGGAATTTTTAATATGATTACCTCCACTGTTTAAAAAATAAACGACTAATGAGAAACTTATTGAACCCAAAATACAGGAGAGCAGAAAATTAATTAGTACCTCTAGTTTAAAATTAGTAAAAGTTTTCAGAAACTTGGAAATGTGTTCAAATTAAGTTTGGATATAATTACAAAAAATTAACTCAAAACTCAACATATTTCGGATAATTAATTAACATTGAGTTGGTTTTGATTTTTTAAAAGAAAACTTTCAACTGTATGTTATCCACAAATGATTTGCTTTTCGCTGAAACCAATTAATTGAAACTTTTTCCTTTTGATACTGTTTCCAAATGACGCCGAACATTATTTTCTGACAATCGAATCGCAGATAAAAGAAAATTTCAAAAAAGGGGGATTATTTGACGAGATAATTTTTTGCCTTAATCTCCCTTCAAGCCATAATAGGCATGGATTTGTATTTCAAGTTTTTTCTGGTTGTGAAAAACTTGGCCGATCAATCTCTTTCCGAAACGAGGGGTCGCTCATTAATTATTATTGACAATCAAATATTTATTTTTTATTATGTTCGACGACTTTATAGAACTTTGTACAAAATTCCATGCACGTTCGAAATTAGGAAATTGTCGATTAGAAACCCGATAACACATTGTTTACGACAGATGTGACCAAAAGGAAGTTTCAGCTTGTTTTAAACCCAAGTGGAAAGTCTATTTCTGACCGCATTGTGATACATTTCTTTATAATTTACCAGTCGTGTATACAGCAATGATTTATTAATGTGGATTCAAGAGACAATTAATTGCAACGTCTCGCTCTAATAATTGTAATAACAGTAATTTATCATAGCGCAGAAATTAATAATGATATCATTCACCAACTCCTACAGGCGATTACATTATAAGTTTTATCCTGGCGATTCATATTTTTCCCCCTATGACAATAATGTTTAGATTTAGCAGAAAGAAATCACAAATAAAGCCGTTAAATGCAGAGGAAGCCATTAACGATTTGCATAACGACCATTTCTCCTGCACAAGATTTACCGAAACTGTTTCAGGACATGCAAATTATTAATGACAGTAAACATAAATAACTAATCAATAAAAGCCAAAAATGTAAGTTTATGATTGCAATTTCGTGATTTATTGACATCGAACCCGCGTTATCTGAAAGGAAACAACAATCAATCATATCCTAGTTATGGATCGAATCAACTTGCATTTAAATATATTTTTCAGGTGCTGGATGGTTGATAGTTACTACAGCTCGTGGATTCTCACCGCCCCTGTCTGTATCTCCCTTCTCGTGTCTCTCAGTAAGTAAAAACTGCTTTGATTCAACCAAACCCATTAATTCCGAAATCCCCCAATTAAACTTTGTCTAAATTCACGATTTTGCTTCGATGATTGTCTTAAACAGTAACTCAATTCCTTTGATGTTGGAACTATCACCCGGCGCATCCACCAATTTCGCCTCGAAAAAAAAAAAATCGAGTTTGGTTGTGATGTATTGGGTAAAAAAGGTTTAAAACTGCTACATCATGTCATGCGGACCATAATTTTTAGCCGTGATCCCAATTCGCAAAAGTGATTTTTAGGTGAATCTTTCAAAGTAATGGCCATTTTTTCAGTATTTCTGATCAACGTTTTGCGAGTTATTTTGACTATAATGCACCCGAATTCGGCCAATCCGGCTCCCATGGGATTACGACGAGCCGCCCGTGCTGCACTTATTCTCATCCCGCTTTTCGGGCTGCAGCACATTTTGATACCGTTTAGACCGGATATGTACGACCCCTACGAGCATCTGTATCAATACATCACCGTCGTCGTTGTCACATTACAAGTGAGTAACCTCTTGATTCATTTTCACATCAATTAAGATCACAAAATACAATTTTATGAATTACTTAAATTATGCCGCCTCTAGTACATACAATTTAGAACAGATTTTTTTTTACTTGATAGCAAGAAATGACGCCACAAAAATTTGATAAATTCTCTTCTTAAGCTTGTGTTATACATATAGAGTCAAACGTTAGGAAACAATTGTTTTTCTTCGTATTTATTTTAATGCAGTTGAATGAAAAAATTTAAAAGCAAACGAGGATATTTTTTTTTATAATAAGAGAGTCAAAAGTAAATTTTTTTATATGTCACTTTGAAATTTGGATATCTTAGGTTTGTAAAATGAGATATGTTGGGGATCATCTAATAAAACAAGTGACTCGTGTGTTGGTGTTTTTTATATTATTTTAAAGAAAGTTTTATATTTGGTATCACATTTTGTGCAACTGTTTTCAGTACCACTTTGTAACACTGTCTTTGGCAATACTTTAGCCATCACTGACTGCATACTGTCGTTTTTTAAGTGAGACATTGTTGTAGAACGACGTATTACATCAAAACTAATGCAGTTTAAGCTATTTTCAAGCGATTTGGGTACCGCATACGTCAAATATCTTCAATTTTACCTATCAAATAAAAATAAATTCAATTTAAAAAGCGCTCAATAGAMAAAATAGTATAAAARACACGTGTTACAACTTCTCATTGTGATACTCGTGCATTGTAACACTCGCCACTGCGTGAACTACTCGTATCCCAATGAGTGTTTGTAACACTTGTTTTTAAATATAATATCAGAAATATCAAGGATAGTAGTACAAACTTCAAACAAAAAAATATGTCTCACACACAAATTTATGCATCGAAACTTTTTTTTAATAATAGCAAAAAGATGGTTATTTATTACAGGCGTGGCTTAGATTTGTTTAAAAAAAATTAGGTAAACTTTTTAAAAATTTCAAATTTTGTTTTATAAAAATATTAATGTTTGCTATATTAAAACATAGCAGACATTGATCTATGATTTTCAAAATTTCAGGACGTACATTCTAAAAATAGCGTTTAACATTTTTTTAATAATTCAAAATAAAGATACAAGTTTTATTTTAATAAACTGTAAACATTTTTGTCACGATATAACTACTTAAACATTTCATCTACAAAACAAGTTATGTATTTTTGCAATATTGTAATGAATAAAGAGTAGTAATAAAGTCGTAGAATTTATATTTTTTATAATGTTGAAATTTAAAATGCAATTGTGATTTTTGAAAACTAAGTAATATAGTCTAGTCTTTCACTTGCATCGTGATTTCTTTACACCATAGCAGTTTTTTTATTTTCACACTTTGACAAATTTTAAAGTCAAATTAAGTTACAATATTCCTTTCTTCAACTTTAAAGAACAAAATAATTCAGTGTAAAAAGTATTAATTATCTATTGAACTAAATTAATGCAGCTCAAAGTTAATTATAAGTAAGACTAATTTTTTAATTATAACTATTGTGTATTTGAAACTAATAGCCTTAATGCCTTATTTTTATTTTTTTTTACATTCTATAAATTGCCTGTGAACGGTTTGTTTCTATGGAAATGACAATAAATATTCAATAATAATAAAAATAAAAAGTTAACATTCTATACTGTTACTTAATTTCGAATCTACAAAACCAATAATAAAAAAACATCTTAGCGAAAAACATAAAGAAAAGTAGTTAACGTGGGAACGTTAACAACTTGATTTAAAAAAAATATATTTCTCTTAAAATTTTTATTACACATATTTTTATTCATATAACTTCACTTTTACAATTAATTTACAAAATAATGAATGGCTCGAGAGACGTTAACTTAACAGGCTTCAGACTTATTCTCTATTCTGAATTTATAACACCGTGCGATCAAAAAAAAATTAATTAGAGTAGGCGGTGATTAAAGTCCTTCAGATGGCAATCCTAATTTTTGACATCAAATGGCAGCAGAAACTTTGACAAGTTTGCGTTTTATTCATTTTGAGTGAAATAATGTTTACTTTAGAGCAGAAAATTTTTATTGTTGCAAGTTATTACAAAAATGCTGTACAAGACGAAAACGAGGAATGGCCATTTTCACTTTTAGTTTGTGTGAAAGATTTCCAGCTCAGATTCCCAGCCAATGTGTTGCCAACTATAGAATTTAATCGACGCCTAATTTAATTTTTTTTCGATCGCACGGTATAAATTAGTGCAAGGGTTGCAAGGTTTTTGATGATTGAGAAGCGCATGATGTTTACGTTTCCTTATGGAAGCTTTTATGCTGATCCATAGGCACGTGGCAAAAGCCACAATTTTTCGTATTACACTTCTTCTTTTAACGTAACATAGAAAAACTAGCTAATTGAAGATTAATGATTATTTAAATTTTAAATTAAAAAAATTATTATTTATCTTTTTGTACGCTCAAACAGATTTTTATCGAAATGTTCAGTGTTTTATAAAAAATATGAAACTTTATTGTTCTTGTACCGCGGGTGACTAAGTAATTGTAAAAAAAAACTTGGCATGAATGAATCTTAATCAGGTTGATTCAACAATTTTACAGGTGAAGAAGTGAGATTACAAAATTTTAGTTAATATAATTTTAAAATATGTATCTAATTTTGACAAAATAGATAACAAATAGCAATTCAAACACGTCTGGTATGACCATCTTATTTGCTATTATTTAAAAAGAAAGTTTTAATAAATTAATTAGGCATGTGAGATACTTTTTTCTTCTCAAGTGTTTACCATTGGACAGCCTTTTTTCTCAATCTCTCAAAAACTAATTGAAAGTGGATGAGTTTACATTTTTAAGTGCTTTCTTAAATCAAACGCAAAACATTAACAATTCACAAAGCTTAAAATATTTTTTATTTCTCGATTTGCGCTATATTTTCGTCATTTAACTAAACCTCCCGTTAATTACAACTCTCTAAAGCTAACTCGTCCAAATAAACGAAAAACTCAAATTGGATTGTCCCAGCTTAAAAAACATCTCTGCGATAACGCTTCTTGCAAACTTCGCCACTTAAATTCGCTCGGAGTCAAACAAGTTGATTTACAACTTAATAGAAAAATATCTTTTGCAGGGTTTATGCGTATCGTGTCTGTTCTGCTTCGCCAACCAAGATGTCCATCAAGCCATTCGGGGTTTTATGCATCGTAAGGTTTACCGGACTACTCGCTGGAGCAACTACCATTACACCGGAGCCGTGGATAGTGCAGGGGTTTATGTGGTTAATGGTAGCAGCCACTGCAACAATGTGGGGCTATTATCGTTGAAAAGGAAATCGACGACAACTGTCAAACTGTAAAAATGGGAGAGATTAAAGACCGATTTCTCCGATGCTCATAGATTGAGAGGGCGGTTTTTTACGTATATTTCAATGTGTTGCATTGTTGTATTGGTTTATTGGGGCCGATTGACATAAAACTTTGTTTGCGTACGCCCACAAATGCGGACGTTGCTGAAATTTTTATGTATTTGAATGAAAAAAGCGTTTTAACGTCTAGCACTTTAGGGTTATGTGGCGGTGTGTTCACCCCAAGGATATCAGATTTTTTACTTATCTGTTTTCTACTGTTCAGTATTACTTGTACATAATTTAGTAACTGTGTGTAACATTTAGCCACTTAAAAATAAACATTTGTGTAGTAATAATATTTGAAAGGGAGCATATGATACGCTTACACCCTGAGTCATGTTTGATGTCACCATTCATGTACGATCTAAATGTATGAATAAAGCATTGACAAGCAATAAGTTTGTTTTAATTCTGTAATWAAAAATTCATTTTCAATTTGGCTTCAACGGTTTCAAACAAAACGAACAAATCTCCTTTTCTGATAATCGCATTTACTTCTTTTGTGATCCGATTTCTCCAAGACGATTATTAAATTCTTTCTGTTCAGACGATTTTACGTACTTCAGTATCAAAAGATGTCAATTTATCGGAAAAATCCGATGATTTTATCAGTTGCCAACAATTACTACGAGTTTGTTTTCCGACGGCAAATACAATCAAGTCAATCACAATAAAGACGAGTCTTCTATTTTTACAGCCCAACCTATAATTTGAAAATTGCATGAAAATAATGTCATCAAGAACGGAAATAAGTCATTAATTTTTATTTTGTGTAAAAATAAACAAATTTTGAACGTTCTGAAAGTCAAAAAAACTAAAAATAAAATACGATTAGGTTTTATTATTTTTTCGTTGCAAATCCCGGAAATAAACTTAATTTTTTAATCAATACTAATCTGGGAGACCTGAACCATCTTGAATCGCTTACTCCTAGTGTGAAATTTCACGAAAATTGCAAATCCGTTTTTATTTGCTGCTATAATAATCAATCGTTTTTGAGTTAGCAATAAAAAGACAATTTACAAAGTTGTTACCCAAAAGCTATTTGAGTGTTACAAAGGAATAGAATAAAATCAAGATTGATTCAAAAATGAACACAAAAAACACGTAAAAAGTCAAACTGCACAACAAGAAAGTTCATACATACCAGGTGAACAAATAAAGTATGCAAGCAAACGGTTTTTGCTTTAACTATTAATTTTTTTAAATAACTAATTAATGAATGATAAAGTATCATAAAAAGAATGACGCTTCATCAAGAATAAAATTTTTCGAAATTTTATTTTTGTTTTGTAGTTGTGCAATTTTTTTAATGGCAACCCTCTATAAAACCTTTTTTTACAAAGGCTATGATTTACGGATTGCAACACAACTATCTAAATTTTGTTCAATTTTTATCAAAAAATTTTTTTATACCTTTGAAAAAAATGCACAACTTAACAAACAAATTTTTATTCTCAAAAACGATCACATTTTTTCAGCACTTTAATTTGTATTAATTATTATTACAATTTTCTGAAGGCAATTGATTTTAAAGAAACGCCTAGTTAAACACTTTTGTTCACTTTGTATAAATAGGTAAATAAAACATAAATATTGAAAAATAATAAAATTTAGGAAACTTATCTTTGAGTTTTATCTGCAAGCTACAACTGTTTGTTTAAATATTCTTATAATTTTTGAAGGAGGGCTTATTAAATTTGGAAACAAATTAAATGCACAGTATTTAAACAACAAGTATTTTTGATAAGTAAAAATAATCAATGCACAATAAAAATAGTAAATGCACAGTAAATATAATAAATGCACAATAAAATAAAAAATGCACAGTAAATAGTTATTTATTTGAGTGTAAATCGGACCGATTATTACACCGAGTGGTTTATCATCCACGAGGTGGAATAAAGCGTCCGATTTACACTCAAACGAGTTGAATACAACATTTTATTCTTCGAATTAGACTCAATAAGGCTTAAACTTGCTTTAAGTGTCGAAAAAAAAAGTGTCGAAAAATAAAATAATAAATACACAGTAAAGACAATAATGACAATTTAATATTCAAACATTTACAAACAAAATGTTTCCGAGCAAAATCGAAATATCGCAAAGCGTTCAAAAACAAAATTGTGGTATCAGGAGCACGGCAGTGCAAAGAGTGGCGTACGCTGATTAGACTGATTACCATTTGTGCACAGTTTCCAGCCCTTGCGAAAATCATTCTTGCGCAGGAGCCATACATTGTTATGTAACCAAAACTGAAAATTCTTTAAGTTTTACGTTGTTTTACTAATTTTTATTAAAGTTACTGAGTGTTTATTTTTTTACTGTGCAAATTATAATTTTTTACTGAACAAATTGTAATAAAATACTGTGTGTACTTTACTTAGCATTTAAAAATATTATATTATACTGATCATTTTTAATTTTTTACAGTGCAAAAATTAATTACTTATCTACTGATCATTTATCATTTTATACTGATCAAAATTAAATTATTTACTGATCGCTTTATTACTATACCCATTAAATTTGGTAGTTACTTACCTGTTTGTAAAAACAGAAAATGTTGGTTTTCCTTGTCGAAATTTCCGGTTCATCAACTGCAAAGTGTATATAATCCCCCTTGCAAGCCTCGCAGTTTTCATCCAAATAAGACACTTTGTATAAATTCGGTATAAAATAAATGTTTATAGCGTCGTTTCTAAACTCAGGGGCTACGCCCCCAGTTTTCCTGTTTTCTCAAAACAGCAGTTTTTTTCGTCAAATGCGCGTTTTCGCGTGCAATGCATTCGACCATAAACGCAACTGTTTGTGGCTTCAAAACCTTGGAATTAATTACTGACTCCAGCAATGTAATTTGGCGAATTCCCGGAATAAGAAAGCATCAATAACGATCAATAACAATAATAAAATCACGTGTTGTTCGAATTTTTTTAATCCGAGATAATGTATGCAAATTATCCGGGTTTAGCAACACATAAATATTCAAAGCGAGTGGATGAAGCAGATCATAAACCGAAGCACTATGTACAAGAGTAAAGTCATTTGTGTTTTGTTTGCTTTGTGTCTCGTCGAGATTTTTGTAAGTAGAGTGATTAGAAAAATTAAAAAACTGTGATGATAATTTTAAGGCGCTTGAACTGGACGAAGATATGCAGGCGCTTGTAAATCAACTGCACAACACGTGTACCAGTGAAACAGGAGCCACAGATGGTGAGCGACAAATAAAATCTTCAATCGTTGATAAATTCTGATTTTAGCTCAAATCGAAAATGCAAGAAAGGGAGATTTTTCCGACGATGACAACTTCAAGTGTTATTTCAAATGTGTTTTTGACCAAATGGGTTGTGTAAGTAAATCGAAAAATTTTTGCGAGTAAAAACTGTTTTATTAAACGCAGATGACCGATGATGGAAAAGTGGATGCCGAAGCCGTTATYGCTGTGATGCCACCAGAACTGATYTCGAAAATTGAGAGTACGRTCAGAGGGTGTTCGGAAGGTGAGGATTTTTGTTCATTTTTGTCAAAGTTATTATATTTTTATTTCCATTTACAGTTGGAGCAAATCCTTGTGAAACTGCGTGGTTAGTCAATAAATGTTACCAAAAAGCCAATCCAGATGTAAGCCAGTTCTCTTTAAGCGCATGAACTACCTTAAACTTTTTATTTTTCAGTTATATTTCGTCCCTTAAAGACAACGCACCTCATACAACAACAAATCTAGCTTTAACTTGGAACTTGGAGTGACACCATTTAGTTGTTAATAAACTGTAGTTAACTGTTACCAAATTACAATTTTTCTTTTTTTCTATTCAAACAAATAGTCCCAAATTAACTCATAAATCAGAATCATAATGACAAACACTTCACAAAAGACACAATTCGAACAATGAAACCGTTGTTAGCATCCCGAACGAACTAATTTCTCGTCTACTACTACCTATACGTTTTGGTTCACAATTAAGTGAAATTTACCAAATCTAGCAATTTTTTTTTAAACTCATTCTGACTAATGAGAAATGCGATCCGGAATTCATAATTTAGTTTTTTTTTTCTATTTCACTTTATCTACAAAGATTTATCGAACTAATTCGACGTATACATTCGTTCATGTAAACAGAAAAGATCCAGCTTTTTGATATCATATTACAAAAAACATGATCATATTATAGTAAAAAAAGGATGTTTTCTTTGACGAAACACTTGTAAGAGCAATTTTTCCGTGTATGCAAGCGGAAAAAGACGCAAATCCGGTCTGAAAATCCTTGAAACTTTAATAACGAATCAATTCAAATCAAAATAAATCTCGACTAACATAAACAAAATTTAGAAAAAAAAAACAAAATTTATTTGCGATTTTTTGAAACTCGGTTAACAATGCATTTTTTGTGGCCTTGGATTTCTTCGGGTGCGAAAACGTCACAATTTCTATTTTCCGATTTTTTAAATATTTCAGGCGTTATGAACTTATGAGTTAAATACCATCGGAAAGCGTTTTTCATTTACCGTAAATTTCCGGTTATCTCGACGCTATTTAGCTTTTAAAACAAAATAGTTATCTATATTGGCAATTTCGCCAAAATTGACGCTGTATCAAAATTTACAAAAAAATTATTTTTAAACCAAAACTCAAAATTTTAAACGCCAAAGTTTAAATTTATTATTATTTTTTAAATCCGTACTTTATAATTACGCCTAGATATAAAAAAGAGTTTTGAAACATGAAAAACCAAAGCAAATCGGCTCTCCGGCAATGAGAAAATTTTGGTTACGGAGAACTCCGGGTACTCGAACTTCTGAAAAACGACGTTCAGTCTAGCCAAAAACGACAAAAATCGAAAACACTAAAACTATTGGTTGTAATTTTGATTTGAGTATTAAAAACGCGAATATTTAAATTCCTGAGGATTCCCGCAATCGTTTTTTAATTTGAAAATAATACTAAGTAGATTATTCATGTTATTTGCTGGGACATAAAAACAATACAATTGCTAATGAGTAGATTTCCACCTCGAGAAAATTGTAATAACACATTTGTCTTTTCTTTTTTAATTACAAGTCTCTGACAAGAGGAAACGAGAGGACATAAATATCCCTGAAAATCTCTACTGCATTCAAAATGTCGCTTTTGCTTTTAATATTCATTTCGTGCTTATTTCCGCACATTTTCGTGAGTAAAATTTAACAATCAACCCCCGGATTCATTCATTTTTCCAGAGCATTTCCGAGGAAATGCAAGAACTAGCCAACACCCTCCACACGACGTGCGTGGACGAGATCGGAGTGTCCGAAGGTGATAAAAATTGCTCATATCTTATAAATCAACATTTCTGTTTTATAGACGCTATAGAAAATGCCCGGAAGGGGAATTTCGCCGACGACGACAAACTCAAGTGTTATATGAAGTGTATAATGGAACAAATGGCTTGCGTACACAGTTGCTTAGTTTTATTTGTAATTTGTGAGAAAAATTGTTTGTAGATTGACGACGAGGGCATTATTGACGTTGAGGCAACAATTGCGGTTCTGCCGGAGGAATATCAGGCGAAAGCCGAACCAATTGTGAGGAAATGTGGCACGAAAAGTTGGTAGAAATTTTGTTAAAAGCAATTAATTTGATTTCGGATTTCAGTCGGGGCGAACGCGTGTGATAATGCTTTTCTGACGAACAAATGCTGGTATGAGGCGGCTCCAGAGGTGAGTTTTGAACTCAATTAACATTTTGGCAGTTTTCGAATTTCATTTTTGTTGCAGGATTACTTTTTAGTGTGATAACCAATAAGTTTTAATAAATTTAATTTTCCTCATTTTATGTTGTACTGAATTACAAAAAGAAAAAAAAAGATTAAAATAATGATCAATACTGGAGTCAACGTGCAAGTTTTATTTATTCGAAATAAACAGTTTAGTGTCATTTCCGCCTTGCTAAGATCAATACGTAGTCCTTGAGAAAAAATATTATAAATTTCTTCCTCTGATTTCAGCCCTTTTATCGTTGAATTTGTTTCCAAGTAACACTTATTAGTCAACCAGGCACTCTCACAAAGTTTGGCCCCCACTGAAAATTACCGATTTTTTTTAAATCTATTGTTTTCACTTACTTTTAGCCCCACAAGACCTAATCGTAGGAGCTCCTTTAACTTGCATGTCTTCAGGGAGCAGGGCTATAGTGGCTTCAACGTCAACAACACCGTCGTCACTTATCTACAAAATGAAATTAATAGCAATTTCAAAAAATTAACACTTACACAGCCAGTTTGAGTCATTAAACACTTGATGTAACATTTTAATTTCTCGTCGTCGATCATTACTTTAACCGAATTAACTTTGTTGATCAAATCTAATAAAATAAATTACAATTAAATTRAATTCAATTTAAAATAGACCCACCCTCTGAAACTCYTGTTTCTGCAACGCATGTGGAGTTGGTTTATCAGTTCTTGCATTTCTTCGGAAATGCCCTAAAGCCACAAAATTATTTAATCATCAATTGCATGTACATACTTACAATAACTCGTCGAGAGGTAAAGAAATATAAAACAAGCACAATGATGTGATATCTGATCATTTTCGGTGTTATTTGAACTGTGAGTTTTTTTTTTTATAGAAATAGATATTTAAACAAAAACTTCCCGAAATTTGTGGTTTGGTAAATTAGTAATTTTGGCAATTAGTCAACCCAAAATTATAGATTGGGTAAAAACTGTGCAAAAATCCTTGAAAATATGTGGATAAATACCAATTAACTTGCTTAAAATAATTTTGGCTACGGCTCAAATATTCTCTAAGAACAATTGAATAATTTGAAAAAGTATATATAAAAAGCAATTTTATGTTTATTAATACAAATTAATTTCACTTCATACAAAAATTTATCTAAGGTTATTGTTCTGTTTAAATTAGCCATGAAACAGAAATTGTGTGTCAAGCAGTCATGGCCGAGCGGTTAAGGCGTCTGACTAGAAATCAGATTCCCTCTGGGAGCGTAGGTTCGAATCCTACTGACTGCGGTTAACTTTTTTTTTTAAATAATGGAGTATCCGCTAATTTATTATTTATACAACTTTATTTACTATTCTAATTACACATCGATTTTAATCAACTTGTCATTGCCCACGCAGTTAAATTATAATGCTTAAATCACACAATCACAACAAGTCGGAAAAATCGAACGAAAAACCGCAAAAATGCCACAAAAACCTTTCTCATTCTGGGCTATGCTGAAATATGAGGGGAAACAATTTTGTTTAAATACAGCCCTGCATGGGTACCGATTTATAGTTCTCCCTAAACGGATATTACTTGAACGGTAATGGTAGAAATTTTCCGATTTTCTAATCAAAACTTTTTAGAGTTTTTTGGACTATTATTGTCACAATTTCGCTGATTTCTGCCGTGGTTTTGTTACTAATGGCCTGGATTAATTTCCAAGAAAATCCGACTTTGTTAGTCACAGATTCGACTCATTATCCGATTTGGAATTACCCGTTTCCWGCTGTAACCATTTGCAGCTTTAATAAAATTTTGAAAAGCCGGGCTTTAGCTCTAGCTAAAGAACTGTGAGTTTTCAAAACAGGAGAAATTTTAAATTACTAAAAATATTTTTTTCAATAAGAGACAAAGCTTATGGAATAACGGATGAAGAACTAGCAAATGATCTTCGAATCCTGTTTCAACTGATTTACAACAATAATAAAAATATCCCTCAGAGGAATTACTCCCGGCTTCAGGACATTTTAGATTACAACGAGTACCCTATTGAAAAAGTAATGAAACACCTCGCTCCCACATGTASCGAAATCCTGCAACGTTGCAAGTGGAAAGGTGAGGAAAAACGGTGCGAAAGTCTCTTCGAACCGATCAAAACCACCGAAGGCTATTGCTGCTCGTTCAATTACTATGCTCTCAAAAATCACACTTTTGGAGGGTAAGAATAACCCTTTCTAAAACCAATTTAACACTTAATTTCCCAGAGCTTTAGCTAATAAAATCCCCCGGAACCCCCGAAGGGTCTCAGCTTGTGGCTACTTGACAGCTCTTGAAGTCCTCGTAAATAGCTACCCCGAAAATTACTTCGCAACCCAAATAGCCGCCATAGGACACAGGGTGCTCATCCACAACGCTTATGTTTATCCCGACTGGGGTGTTCAGAATCTACTGACGGAGAAAGGGATCATCAATATGATTGGAGTGACCCCCACCAAGACATACTCCACTGACAGCGTAAGGGGTATAGATGTCTCCAAGAGGAAATGTCTTTTTAATAATGAAACCCAGCTTCACAATTTCGCTCAATATCATTTCCACAATTGTATAATCGAATGTAGGATGAACATAAGTCGGCAGYATTGCGGCTGCATCCCTTTTTACTACTACCACGAGACCGGGACGTACCCCAAAACCCGCATTTGCAATTTGAGGGATATCCAGTGTTTGACCACCCACAGAAGTATGGAATATTTCGCCCCGACTGCAACATAGTATCAAAACTACCCCTTTTGCAGAGCTGCTGATGAGTTCAGTCCCGGGGTACGACTTTTCTCGGATTAAAAACGACCACAACTGGGGTACCGAGCTGCAAATTTGTAGCCAATGCCTCCCCTCTTGCGATTACGTCCACTTTACCAGCGAAGCTTCGTCCGGAGTTTTCACAAGGGAGTATTCCAGCAATCAACTGAATTTATAGTAAGTGCGACACACGCTAGCGTGAAATTTTCAATTAGAGTTTCAGTGGGGGTATCGTAATTAAAGATCAGAGTGTAGTCCGGGTTTATTTCAATGATTTGGTAGCAACGAAAAACAGGAGAGACGTTATTTTCAGCTGGCACACGCTTCTCGGTGCGTCTAAGTACCACTTCGCGTGCTATTTTAATTCTTTATATTTTTTACAGCGTTCTACGGAGGCTTGTTGGGGCTTTTCACAGGATTCAGCTTCGTTTCGGCCATAGAACTCGTCTACTTTTTCACAACTCGGTTGTTTATTGATGTAAAACAAAGGAATGAGATTGCGAATAAGAAAAGAGATAGTCATTTCGTGCAGGTTAAACCGCACAAAGATGAAATTCTTAATCCGAAACATCTAATGACAAATTACAACAGATTTAATCTGAGGCGAAGGAGCAATTCGAACTCTTAATTTATTAAAAAAAAAGTCAAACACAAATTTATTCAAATTATTCAAAAAGGGATCCTCGTGAGGGTAAAAAACACATAAATAATACCCTATCTTGAGTAGAAAATCATTCCCAACTTTCAAGAATAAAAACAAATGAAGCAAAATGTCACTGCTGCCACCTATGCATCAAATATAAAAATTTTGCGAAATCTCCTTCTTAATGCTTGTTGTTTAGATGTTTTTTCAAATTCCCCTTCCACGCCGTACTAAAACTGCACTGCGAACACTTGTAGGGTAGTTCGCCCCCCGTGTGTGTGAACTTATGGGCGCCTAGCCCTCTCCTATCACTAAAACTAGCCTCGCACAAATCACATTTATAGCATCTAGTTGCATGTCCACACTCTTCCTTATCGTTATCACATTTTGCACAGTTTTCCGCTAAATGTTTCGTCTCTTTATGTTGTTTTAAATACGATTTGGTCAAATATCCCTTACCACACTCTTCACATTTATGTGGAAGCTCCTGTCCCGTATGTGTGATCATGTGCAACTTCAACTGATATTTTTCTGCAAAAGGTTTATTGCATATTTGGCACAAATGAGGCGATTTGCCTTTATGTGTGAATGAATGCCGGTCTAAGGCCCGTTTGCGTAGAGTAGTGTAGGTGCAAAAGTCACATTTGTATTCTTTTACACTCAACATGTTTTTATTGTGTTTCTGTTTGTGAGTGTTGAGGAGGTCTAATCTATAGGCTTTGTATTCACATAAATCGCACGTGTAGCTGCGTTTTAATGAAGTGTTATCGCTTTTAGATCTACAAACAAATTGCATAATATAAAAATAATCCCAATTATGTAATGTTTACTTTTTTGTACTGCTTCGATGTCTCCTATTACGCGATTTTTCCAACGTTTGGTTTTCATGTTCTGACGGAATCTGATTTATATCCGGTTTCATTACTGTATTATTTGGGTAACTACCTTGTAATTGAAAATGCTAGATGAGAAATAGAAAAAGTGTTATACAAACCTAACACTATTGCTGTCTTGGAAAGAATTTAAGTAACTTTCAGTCAAGTCATCATTTTTTATCACAGGATAATTATTTCCGTGACTTATTATGTTACTTAAACTAATTTTTTTGCCCAGTTTAATATTGTATTTCTGCAAGTAATCATAAATTCTTTCCTCTGTTTTTAAGCAAGTGTCTTTAAAGAGATAAGCCTTTTTCAAGGAATCTGAACATTGTATACACATTAYTATTTCACCATCAAATAAATCCAAGTCCTAAAAAGTTGTCCCTGAGTCCTACTCTTGTAGTTAAAATCAACAAACATACCATTTCAGGCATAAATAATTCCAACATGTCTTTTACCGTCATTTGATTTGTTTCGACCAAATTATAAATTTGTACACAACTCGTTGGTGATAGATTCGTTTTTAAGCAAGTTCTGCAAATTAATTGTTCCATTTTATCACAATATTGGTAAAAACTCTTTAAAGGGCTGTACAAGTGTGCARAAGAGCGAATTTGAAGGTAGTCAACTCTACTACACAACCGATTGTGTATAGGATCGAAAAACATGTTTGATACATACATTCAAGTTTGTGAATGAGAATTTTTTATTAAAAAGTAAATAAGTAAATACAGTAAATTAAACAAAATTCTATAATACAAATTAAAATGTTCATTTTACAGGCTGTTTGAATCTTTCGAGACGCTGTTTGGCCTTATCTTCAGGCGTAACAATTCCGAATCTCTCCTTGCGTTTCTCCAACCTCTGCTGTTGGTCCAAACTCGTCATTACTGTTGAAACGGACCCTCCAAACCTTTCCGCTCTTTGCTTCAAAACGTCGATACTTGTATTCTAAAAACAGCAATTAACAAACAAATTAGTTTCATTAGTTTTCCAAGTACCACTTTAGTTTGTGCTGTATTTGCCTGATTTGCAGTCCCAAATCTCTCGGCCCTTGCAACTTTTTTCGCTTCATTGCTCAGAGAAACATCAAACTTTTTCGCCCGCATTTCAAGGCGCTACAACAAAAGTTATTTTTTTGTAAATTGATCAAATATCTTACTTCTTTCGCTGAAAGGCCTGATAGTTTGATTACCCGTTTTTCTTCTGTTGAGCCGTTTGATTTAACTGAACCTTCCTTACTTTCAGTGGAAATTCGCGTGTTTTCAATGAGTGGTGTATTTCGATTTAGAACGACTTTTTTTGGTGTCGATGCCGTTTTTTCCTTTGTGCCATTTTCATCCGATTTACGTTTTTGCCCTTTGGGCGGGAGAGAGTCATTCAGGGCAGTGTCAATATCACTTATTACGGACTCTGTTGTTTCTAAATGTACATCATCGTCATCTTCCTGTAAAAAACATTTCATCTTAAGCCGAAAACAATAACAATAAAGTGAACCCAATTACATTCAGTAAGTCTTCATCAAGATCATCAACTGACTCGTTACTGGTTCTCTCATTAGCCTTAAGAGCCGTTTGTAATCTTTCTATCAAATCAGTTTTATTTCCAGACGTATTCAAGCCTCGGCTTTTGAGTTCGCGTTTTAAATCTGGAACCTACAAAATGTGGGTACAATAACATAACCTCGAAAATAACAGTGAAATAAATTACAAAAATACAAATTATGTACAATAAAACTGTTCGTAATGTTTTTGCAAATTCCTTACAACAATTTAAAATTGTTTACTTACTTTTAATTTGGAAATTTCGATCCCAGTGTCCAAAACAGAAACGTCCGCCATGTTCGCAATGTGCATCAAGGTTCAGTGTTACCAATTTGGCGTTTTTGGCGCTAGTTCTTTTCTAGTTCAAAAACCTTTGCCACTTACATGCAATTTTTTCTATTTTTCGTTTTTAACAACGTCAGTAACGAATTAGTTTAAGTGCGTTACTAGCCTAGTGATTATGGCCTTGAAAGTAAATTGGTTTTAATAAACGTATCAATTTTCCGAATTTTCAGAAGCGAACATAAAAAAATATTACCGAAGAATTCATTTCTAGATTATCAGATAAAAATTTTGTTTGTTGCATTATTTTTATAAAAAAAAATATAAGCCATGCTCCACTTCTCTAGTTTTCCCAGTAAACGTGCAAACTTATCAATTCCAATTATTACATCCACAACAAAACGATAAGACATCAAATAACCTTTTCCCCCCAAACAGCCTCCAGTAGTTTCTAAACTTTGTTCACAGTAACAAAATAATGATTTTCAAATCTTTATTATTTTTGTTTTGTTTTAAATTTTACGTTTCTGGTCAAGGTGAGTAAGAAAAATAAACACTTTTTGGCTCTAATTTTCACATCCAAAAAAAGCAATTGGAACAGAATGCACGACTCCGGACCAAAAACCCGGATCTTGCACCAACATCGACGACTGTCCCTTTCTTCTCAACCTCCTAATGAACCACAACACAAACAACACCGTCCGGACTTATCTAAGAACGGCCGTTTGTGAATATTCGGGGCGCAACCCTGTGGTGTGTTGCCCCAAACAAGTTACAAGTGCCTCAAAACTGCCCAAAAGTCCGGCTTGTGGGTTTAGTAACAACACGATTCCGAGAGTGGTCAACGGAGTACCAGCAAAATTGGGTAAATAGGGAACGATGCTAAATAAATTTGTCACGGTTCAAGTTTAATTTAAAAATATATCGAAGAAGTAGATAAGAAGAAGTGAACACTTTTCGATGAATTGTTTTAGGAGAATTTCCCTGGATTGTCGCATTGGGGTATAGGAATTCGAAGAATCCAGAAATGCCAAAATGGCTCTGTGGAGGCTCTTTGATCACTAAAAAACACGTTTTGACGGCCGCTCATTGTGTGCATAACAGGAGAGATTTGTAATAAAACTTTTAATTAAGATTTTTCTATTGAATTTTTTTTGTAGATATATTGCTCGTTTGGGCGACTTGGATTTATACTCAGATGATGATGGGGCCACCCCTTCGACTATACCGCTCGCCAAAGCAAAAATTCACCCCGATTATAACCCCACCAGATTTACCAACGACATTGCAATTCTTACCTTAAAAGAAACAGTGAATAATCGTGAGCCACTTCAAAAAAAAAATATTTTAATATTATATTTTATTTTATTAGCTACAGTATGGCCCGTGTGTTTGCCAACCATCGATCCATACCGGTCCATGTCTTACTTGAACTTTTCACCGACTTTAGCCGGTTGGGGATCCATTTCATTTAGTCCGTTTACTAAAACAATTTTTGCAAATTTTTACTGATCATTTTTAGATGGGCCTTCTAGTTCAACATTGCAACAAATTTTTGTTCCTGTGTTAAGTCAACAACAATGCGAACGTGCCTTTTCGAGAGTCGCCACAATAGATAATAAAATTATATGCGCAGGTTCTTTAAACGGTGATAAGGATGCTTGTGGAGGCGATTCGGGGGGTCCCCTAATGAACGAAATCAATGAAGGAACGAATTACCGAATTTATCAAATTGGAATTGTCTCGTATGGTTTTCGGTGTGCAACTCCCGGATATCCGGGGGTTTACACAAGAGTTACGGCTTTCGTTGACTGGATTGAGCAAAATTTAGACTAAATAATGACTTTTCTTCACTGGAAAATTGTTTTAATTCTTTAAAATGTATTGTTGTATTATTGATTATTGAGATAATATATTAACTTGGAATAAATCGTAATTTTAAATTTTAATGAAGTTATTTTTTACGTATTCACATTCTATTTCATTAAATTTTTGCCCTACTATATTTTTTGTGCAAATATTATTATTTATTGTGTAATAGCTTATTATATTTCAGTTTTTGCTATTTATTATTTAAGAAAATAACTAAATAATTAGGCCATGAATGCTTTATTTTTTAGATTAATTTTGAGTTTTATTTACAGAAAAAATTAAAGTTGGCGCCTTAGTGATAACACGAAAATCCCTTCTGTTCGTCTCTTTTTCTCTTTTTCCCTATCACCATCCTTTTCTATTGACAACTGACAACACGGTAAGTTTTCATAAATTTTAAATTAAAAATATCTGAGTATATTTTAATAATTTGAGACCATCCTTGTCCCAAATATTAAAATAATCATTCTCTTGTCTGTTTTATATAGTTTCCCATCACCATTTTTGTGTATTTTGTCCATTTTGTTGAGGTTATGTCAAACGCTAACATGACTTATTTTTCAGTCTGAACCGCGATGGGACGTGTGATTCGTGCACAACGTAAAGGTGCGGGATCTGTCTTCAAATCCCACACCAACAGACGGAAGGGGGCTCCAAAATTACGTTACTTGGATTTCTCTGAACGCCATGGTTACATCAAGGGTGTCGTCAAAGACATCATCCACGACCCGGGCCGTGGAGCCCCTTTAGCCGTTGTAAATTTTAGGGACCCTTACAAGTTCCAAACTAGGAAAGAGTTGTTTATTGCGCCTGAAGGAATGTACACAGGACAGTTTGTGTATTGTGGCAAGAAAGCTAACCTCCAAATTGGTAAGTATTTGACTCAGTTAATCTCCAGTTTGTGATTAAGTGATGATTTCTAGTCTAGACTGATTAAAGATTTGACGATTTATTTACTAGAGGCTCTTTCTGAATGTTTGTTTCATATAGTTTTGAGTTTACTTAGAGTTTTGGTTTTCTCAGTTTATTGTTTTTAGGTAATGTTCTGCCTATTGGATCAATGCCGGAAGGTACTATTGTTTGCAACCTTGAGGAGAAAACTGGCGATCGTGGCCGTTTGGCTCGCGCTTCAGGGAACTACGCTACTGTTATTGCCCACAACCATGATACAAAGAAAACAAGGGTCAAACTACCTTCAGGAGCTAAGAAAGTCGTTCCGTCAAACAACAGAGCTATGGTTGGTGAGTATCACACTAAAATAACCATCTTTAATTAATTTAGTGATGATTTCTATTTATCTATGACACGTGTAATTATTACATAGAGGCTCTTTCTGACGCCACTATTGTTATTATTTTTTTCAGAGTTAAAAAACAATTGTTTTAAAACCTATAATTACAGGTATTGTTGCCGGTGGTGGTCGTATCGACAAACCTATCTTGAAAGCTGGTCGCGCTTACCACAAATACAAGGTTAAGCGTAACTGCTGGCCTAAAGTACGTGGTGTTGCTATGAATCCAGTTGAGCATCCCCACGGTGGTGGTAACCACCAACATATTGGTAAAGCCTCAACCGTCAAGAGAGGCACATCAGCTGGTCGTAAAGTCGGTCTTATTGCTGCTCGCAGGACGGGTCTTATTAGGGGAGGCAAAGTCGAGTCCAAGAAAGACGATTAGATTAAGTAACAGCCCCCCTTGTATTTCATATTTGATTGTATTGACACTTTGTGGAATATATGGATGGCTGAGAGGTTTTTTACTTCATTTTGTCTGTTTTTTTACCCTTTTTCCAATCTTTATTTTAATGAATGTGATAATGCTAATAATGATAAATAAAAGGAATAAAGCTTAATAAACAAACAAAATTACCAGATTCATTTAAAGAATATATAGGGTGTTTCACGTAATTTTACGAGGCTTGCGCCTGTAAGATACAATCAATAATACATATTCCGATACCAACTCGATTACAAATTTTGAAAAATTGGATAATCTTCTCTAGTTTGTTCACGCTTTCAAAAATTACAATGTTTTTTTTTAGTTACTTAGTGATTAAGATAGATAAACTACAATCATATTCATGCCGTTTCTTGATAGAACAAATGATAATTGTTTCTGAAAAACTGCAGTTTATGACGATTAATGAAACAGTGATTAGTTTGACAACTACTGACATGGGTTTCCAAAAAATAAGTAATTAAATGTGTATTTTTATATCCAGTGTTCTGTGACTTTTGTATATTTGGGTGCGTACATTAGGCGCAAGCCTCGTAAAGTTATGTGAAACCGYCCTGTATATACAGCGTGAGTCAYAGGAGAGTTACTTTAAAAATTAATTAGTTTGCAACCAAAAATACCTTTAGCGTATGTAACTGGATATAATATTTTATTTAAAAGTGAAGTCGTCAAAATGACAAGTAATTGTATACTGCTTCAAGGACTTTAATTTCATTTTCTGGGCCAGTAGCAGTCCTCTGACGGGGTCTTTCTTTGGGGGCCAATCTTGTCGCAACTTGGCTTCCAGTTTTCTAAATGTTTCAGGAACCGGATACATTCGATTTGGATACCACTCCAAGTACCGCAGCAGCATTTTTCTTGCATTCTCCTTGGATTAAGACCATGTCCACTTTTTCATTATTTATAATACATTGTATTAACGAAAATTGACTGTTACTTTTTAAATGTCAAAATGAAAAGATATGCAAAGTATTCTTGGATTCAATTTTATAATTTTTAAAAATGAGGAAGCTAGACGCCTATGTGAATTGTATAATGGGTTGCTGCTCAAATTATTTCAGAAGTAACTTTCCTGTGACTGACCCTGTATGACAATAAATAAAAAAAAAAACAAAGAATATTTTTTTTGATTTCGTCAGAAATTCGAATCCCTTATTTGGAGTGGGAATTTGCGTGGTCCAATAGGGTACGTTTCCTTTGACATTCCAGCTGTCACTTCAAATATTGGCGCGAACGTCAACGTTGAAATTAATCGTGTCGTCTTTTTTTCGTACAAGCCGTTTGGCATTTCCAAACGTCAAATCCCTTAATTTTCGGCGTTTGTGAATTGTCCCTTTTTGTTCGAAATTGTAAAAGTCGTCGTTACTTTACTTTAGAAAGTCTTTGTTGTGAGAACATCCGCCATCAGCATCTGCGTCCGGACTTGCGCAGCAGTGTCGTGCGGAATCGCGAATGAACGCCTCTTGTGAATCTGCCAAAGACGCTTTTCATAAGTTTTAGATTAGAGGTTTTTGAAGCTAAAAACTTCTACCACTCGTCTTGATTAGTAGTAATATGAGTAATGCACCCAACCAAAATGGATCAGGTCTAGAGCAGCAGGTAAGTGGGCAGTAATAGGTTATATGAGGCCGTTTACCACGTTTCTATGACCCGGAAGCCTTTGACAATGGAGGTCGTGTAGACTTCCACTATTGATCGGGCGAGTGACGGTCTCGGACCTCGATGACCCGTCGAGCCCGACGACAGCCCCGTCATCGCTGCTTTCCCCAACAAATCGACGAAAATCCGAGTGATTAATGAATTTTTTCTCTTTTGGTTTAGTTTGCTGGTCTGGACTTGCAGAGTCGCGCACCGAGCGGCCGTTACGTGCCCCCGCACTTGCGTAACAAACAGAGTTCAGCCGAAAGTAGCTACGATAGAGACAAGGGCGAATCCAGAGGCGGAAGTGGAAGAAGCAATTACGGTAGTAGAGGCGGCGGCGGCGGCGGAAGAGATAACCGCGCAGGAGACTACTCCAACTTCAACACTAGGCTAGTATTACTCATCCTTAACATAACCTAGAAACGAACAGCAATCGGAACACGGGCCTTTTTATTCAGTTATAACCCAGTTTCTCCTACAAAGTACAAACCTTTCATTTTTCTCCAATCGAGCACCTAAGAACGTGACTAGGTCTAGTTGGCGGGCTGTCACGTGACCATCTTTGCCCGCTATTTTTAATTTTTTTTTGCTAATGCACAATAAGTTGTATTCAAGATTATTTCTTGGCCATACTTTTCAGTCAGTGGTCGTAAAATAAAGAACACTAATTTAAGGCATGACATGTTGATTAATGTTTTGATTAAACGGTGTTTTCAATGATAACTTTTCGCTTAGGATGAATGAAGCAATAAATGCGATTGTGGATGCGAATTTTGAGCTTTGAATTGTTGTTTAGTCTACAAAAATTCGCAGAAATTGTTTACGTTTTAATGTAGTCTTAATAGACAATAAATACATGATTAATGATTATTTAACGTAATTGATATTGTACGGCGTAATAAATACAATCATAGAGTTTTTAAATGTTGCAATAGTAGTCTGTGGTTAATTTTGACAACAGCCTCTAATCCTTGTTGAGAGTTTTTAGACAAAAGCATGCTCTGATTGGTTGTGGATGTTCTTTTTATAACATTTTCTTTAAGCCATGAAGTTTGTTTATATTTTACATTATTAGAGTAAATGATTTGGTGTAAAACAGACGAAACGTGGAAATACCTATCTTTTGCAGTTTACCAATCTTGTACTTACCTTAGATATAGAGTGAAGTTTTTTTAGGGAAAAAAATTAAAGTATTTTCAACCAAATTTAAGTTTGTTTTGATTAAAATATTGAAATTTATTTTGACATTTTTCTTTTGAATTTTTACCTTTAAAAAACTACTTTACGATTCTTATTTGTTAAGCAAAGAATTAAAAACTTATGACTATAGGTTAGTAGTCATGCATCAAATTTATTTCATAAAAATGTTAGCTTTTATTTTCAAAACTTTGTAGAGATCTTTTATAACATTACACAAGTAATACAATACAACATAAGTAAAAAGTAAAAAATAAGTTAAATGTATAAATTGTTGATAAATCTCTTATTTTCGAATCGAGATGACAAAATAGACGAGTTTGGTATTATCGATTTTTTTTTGAATGAGTGAAGTGGACATTACTCAAACTCATTTCAATTATTTATCGATTTGTATCAAAATATCCTCGCTATTTACGTATCACCAATAATATTACAATTCACATGTTCCGTTTGTTTGTCCATTTTACCAATATATTTACTTTCTCTACATTCTACATATTCAATAGAATTTGGCTTTCTCACTTTCGTCATACGAATTTATGAAAATATCATAAAAAATTATGCAAACGTTAAAAAATTCACCCATTGAGTCACTCGAAAATACCCCAGGAATTATTTTAACGCTCTCCGTTTCATTTCTGCACGTAATTGCATTATTATTCATGAGTCTTACCAAACAGAAAAACCTTGTAGTCACGCAATCTGAAATTCAACACGACTTTTGAGTGGTGTAATTACGGTTTTGTGTACTTTTTCCAGAAATCGCCGCGACAATTTCCCAAATGGCGAGACCTTCGAACGAGACGATTGGGGTCGAGGCGGCGGCGGTGGCGGTGGCCGCCAACAGGAGCGGGAGCGTGACTTGCCCCGTAATGACCGGTGGCAGGAGCCGGAGAAGCCCCGCGACGGAGGCGGTCGTTGGAGCGACAACCGCAACGAGAACCGTGGCGGTGGGAGTGGTGGTGGCGGCGGAGGCCGTTGGAACGACAACCGAGACCGCCACAACGAGAACGATTGGACCGTACCGATGCCGAGAGACGAACGTGTCGAACAGGAGCTCTTCGGCACGGGCAATACGGGCATCAACTTTAGCAAGTATGAAGATATACCTGTTGAAGCAACCGGGGACAAAGTCCCGCGCCACATTACATCTGTAAGTTTATCACACTGTAATCACATTCGTTTTCAAATTTTTATTTTGTACAGTTTGAGGAAGTACAGTTGACTGAGATCATACGGAGCAACATAAGTTTAGCACGATATGATACTCCGACTCCAGTACAAAAATACGCAATTCCGATAATTGTGAGCAAGCGAGATGTGATGGCTTGCGCCCAGACAGGGTCTGGAAAGACTGCAGCGTTCTTAGTGCCGATTTTGAACCAAATGTACGAACATGGACCCCCGAATATTACTCACGGACGCAGTAGAAGGAAGCAGTACCCCCTTGGGCTGGTGTTAGCACCGACAAGAGAACTTGCTACTCAGATCTACGATGAAAGCAAGAAATTCGCCTATAGGTCCCGTGTTCGCCCTTGCGTTGTGTAAGTCCACAAAATCGTCTTTCTTTTTTTAAAAAGAGTGTTAATCTAAAAGGTTAAATTTAACTTGATTTTAAAACATGTTTTTATCGTAGTTTTGTTACAAAAATGTAACGGATGTCTGTTTTAAACACGATTTATTAATTTTTTTTTGCCTCACCAAGACACATTTTTATATTTTATTTGTGAATTGAGGAAAGGAGAAATAAATATAAAGAAGTCTAATCACAGTTGAACATTTCTGAAAGCTAAATCAGCAGGATTGTCTTCGGGAAGCAACATGGTACCACATATCAACCGAAGTTAGATCCAAAATTTTAACAATTTTAAATTCAAAACTTTGCCATCTTACTTCTATCAATTGTCAAACTAATTACTAGTAAAATGTTGCTCTTGGAACTTGATACTTTTTTTATTTGCTTGAGCACTTGACGACCATTGTATGAACTGCTTTTATTGTGTTCCAGTTATGGGGGTGCCCACATTGGCGACCAGATGCGCGACTTAGACCGCGGCTGCCACCTCCTGGTGGCCACCCCTGGCCGCCTTCTCGATATGATTGACCGCGGCCGCATCGGCCTTGACTACTGTCGCTACTTGGTCCTCGACGAGGCCGATCGCATGCTCGACATGGGTTTCGAGGTGCAAATCCGTCGAATCGTTGAGAAAGAAACCATGCCGAAGACCGGCGAACGTCAAACTCTAATGTTTTCGGCGACTTTTCCATCGCCGATTCAGATGCTTGCACGCGACTTTCTTGACAATTACATTTTCCTTGCTGTGGGTCGTGTCGGCTCCACTTCTGAGAATATCACCCAGAAAGTCGTCTGGGTTGAAGAGCACGACAAGCGGTCGTTCCTTCTTGATCTTCTTAATGCGGCTGAAATGAGTCAACCGTCGGCCGAAAGCTTAACTCTCGTTTTCGTCGAAACGAAAAAGGGTGCCGACTCTTTGGAGGAGTTTCTCCATTTCGAGGGGTATCCTGTGACGTCGATTCACGGCGATAGGAGTCAGAGAGAACGCGAGGATGCCTTGAGGCAGTTTCGCTCGGGGAATACCCCGATTTTGGTGGCGACAGCCGTGGCGGCGAGAGGATTGGATATCCCACACGTCAAACACGTTATCAATTTCGATTTGCCTTCGGATATTGAGGAGTATGTCCACAGAATCGGGCGTACGGGAAGGATGGGGAATTTGGGCTTGGCAACGTCGTTCTTTAATGACAGGAACAGGAATTTGGCTAGTGGATTGTTGGATTTGTTGATTGAGGCCAAGCAGGAGTTTCCGAGTTGGTTGGAGGGTGTGGCGGCCGATGGGAGAATGCCCAGTTCTGGTCGTAGAGGAGGAAAGAGTCGGTATGGAAGTGGAGGAGGAAGCAGTTTTGGAGGAAGAGATTATAGGCAACAGTCCGGGGGGATGTCCCGAAATCAGAGATCTGGAGGTGGTGGATACGGAAACAACGGGTTCGGAAATAATGGAGGTGAGTAAAAACTTTTATGTTTGCAAAAAAAAAATGCAAGACTTTCTTGTTTCAGGTGGCCACTACGGCGGCGGCCTCGACCGCGGCGGCAACTTCGGCGGTAACTACAACTCGAACTCCAACAGTCGCGACGACTGGTGGGAAAATTAGACGAAGTAAATCAAGTTTTTTCTTTCAAATAGACTCTTTTCATTACAATAGCGATTTCCTCCCTCAACCTCGACCATCCAGGCCTTCACAACTGATTTCTCCGTGCCGCGTGTGTGTGTAATTTAATTAGCAGGGGCATTACACGAAGTTTCACCATTTGTCTTATTTTCTCTTGTTTTATAATTCATTTTAAAATTCGAATCGCCGTTACTCAGCCTGGATCGATGTAATAATCCACCTCACCGACACACATTTATTGCATAAATCGATTAATTACCGTAGATAATTCTAGTTACAGCTAGAGATTTAAGAAACAAAAAACATTTCCGCAATTATAGTTTGTATTGGCATAATCGAGTGTGTGTTTTTTTGTTTTTTTTTTAAGCGCTCCCTCAGGGAGCGTTTGTGTGCAAATGGGTGTGTAAATTTTGCTATCCCAGTTACGATAGCATAAACTGCGACTTTAAGTATTGATGAGCCAAAAAATTCGTTTCACTTATTTATTAAAACGAACTAACTCGACTAAGACGTTCTAGTCTGCGCGACATGACCGAATTGGGGGGTTTACGGCTCAAAATAGCGTTGCAGTTACAGCTATTTAAGGCGCTAAGAGTATTCTTCTTGTGACTGTGATATTTACCGATCGTTTTAATGATACGTAGTTTTATGGTTGGCACAACTGATTGTCAGCAGTCGCATCGACAATGCGAATAAATCTTAGCGTATGAACAATAACTTATTAAATAATTAAAATAGTACTAGGAATTAAAAAAGTTTGACTTGTTAGAGTGGGCACATGTTTCGTGCCTCTATACCTAACCTAACTTTTTTTTTTAAATTTGAGTTTCAGCTTTCGCACTCCCTGTGATACGGTTAGAAAATCGGTGCCTATTCTAACAGAATGTGATGCACATTCTTATTGTTGAACTATTTTTTAAAAGTGAGGAGCTGTGACTGCAACTGTGCGTCACTTTCGGAACACTCGAGACATTTCGGGACTACATAATTTTTTTCTTCCGTATTGTTTCGAGTGGATCGGAAGTTTTGTTATTAGTTGGTAATTTTAAATATGAAAAAAGGGATGGCAAAATGCTCCGTTACTCTCATGTGTGTCGAGAGTATTTATAACTTATTTTAATGCATTTACAAGTTGTTCTGGTAGAAAAATGCTGTTTGGCATTATTGATGATAAATAAAAGATATTTCAAACTCCAATTTGTCGTTTTATTTTCCCCCCATAAACAAGGATAAGACTTATCGAAGCTTTTATAATTAAAATAAATAAGTGTTGCTTTTAGAATTACTTATCAAACTCGTGTAGTCAGTTCTACTTAACAATTCAATGACTTAATACACCTTTTCAGGTAAGTTATTTTTCGCAAAGAATCCCAAGTGCGTCTTATTTAACTGCAACAATGGCCGTTTAAGGCATAAAATTGCGAATTTTCACGGTATGAGATAAGGATGTGTCGGTTATACCCGCCTCTCCCCTACGAGTCTTCCCACGAACAAAAGCKCCTCGCGAGGGGATTTGGCGGCGAGTATCCCCACGGGACCGATAATTAAGATTCAATTAAGTTTTTATCTGTCGGTCTTGAATAAATTTACGATCGTAGGAGCGGCCGCCATTTTCTAAAAAGAGCAGGGAATGTCGGATTCGTATTGGTTGATGAGACATTTCGGGCGTGCATGTTTCATGTAAATTTATGTTTGAGAAGAGTGCTAACAGCGAGTTTTAATCAGATTGGCTTTATTTCAAGCAATTTGCATCTGGCGAGGCTAATTAAGACGTTAAATGTTAAAGTTGTAAAATAAGAGTTGGGAAAAAAGCCCGATTTATGAGACGGGTTTATAGAAATCGGAGACTTTTCGAAATTTATGCGCTTTATATTTAATTATGGGAATTAAATGCTAATGCGGCGCATAATGAGGCAACATTTTACTTCTTCAAAAATTTCAGTTTTTGGCCGCTTTTTTTTATATCGCGGCAAAATGTTTAGCGGGGCGAAAAACTAATTATTGATCCGGATCCTTGCACACATTTATTTTCAAAAATTGTGTACCACTTACAACATTTAGAAATTTACTCGACCAAAAATTCATTACATTATCTATCTTTCAAGTGGGTAAATTAGAGCCACATTGTCGTAATTTATGTTAATACTTACTTCGTCTGGAAAAGTAATTTTAAACCTCCGATGATAATTTGGAAATTAAAAAAGTCCAAGTTAAAAAAAATCGGCTTTGTTCACCTAATTGGACAATGATTTATTTGTTCAACTGATTTGTTTGTATTAACTTCAGGGTCGTTTTTATTGAGATTAGATCGTTGAAATTAGAATTGTTAATTGTAATGAAGAGCATAGTTCCCCACACTTAATAACAAGGACAGCAAAAAAAAAATTAAATTACAAAAATTATTATTTGCTGTGGTAAACATAAAAATGTGAAAGACAAATTGACAAATTCCTGCTTAATTGTGGGTAAATTAAAGTGGAAATTTATTAATAGAACTTTATCACACCGTCTATTATAACATGTGTGTTTACATTTCTGCGTTTTAATGAAGAGTTCATCAGCATATTGTTTATGTAGGTAACACAAGTGACGTTATAAAGGGTAAATTGTAATTAATACCGGCAGTCATAATACTCTATCTTCCTTATTTATTAATGGAATTTAATGGGGATTTTATCGTATAAAATAGCTGTAAAACATGATGATTATAACTAAACCGAGTAGTTTCAAGCAGTTTTTGACAGGATTATTAATGAAAGGTCACATATTTCAGATAAGTTTCAGTAGGTATAATTTATTTTATAAATGGCGTAACTGGTTTGAAATTAAAATTTTTAAAAATTGCTTTCTATACGTTGGAAGTGCATGATAACTAATTTTTAACAAAAAATATTAGGTACCTAAATAACCACTACGTGTAAATAATAAAAAAAATAATAAATTGCAACATAATTATGTAGGTACATACCTCGGTATTATATGATTTCAAAATTTGCACTTGGGTACACCGAAGGCTGAATGTTTTAAAACGTATAGATTAAATGTAAAACTTTTTTTTGTATATTTTTCACTGAATTAACTTAACAGTAAGTTGGAACGTAATCAAAAAGTAATAATGTTACTATTTTTAATTTTACTTTTGTTTATCTCATCATATAATTGCATAACAATAAAGTAGATTGCCCAAATGGTAAATTTAATTATGTAATAGTTAATAAATAAAAAAGTTTTTGCTATGTGAAATCACAATTAGGTAGGTATACCTCATTGAAGTGCTGATGTGATTAAACATGAAAATATGTAAAATAGAAAAACTCAAGTTTCACACATTTTCCCACACATAATGTACCTAAACGAACAACCTAAACAACGTTTTCCCAACAATATTTAATTTAATTTTCTAAATATATACTTCAAAATTTAGATGTTTCTTTCAATGCGTGAAATGCCGTCTGTGTGTTGTGTGTGAAATGAGCACTTCATGCGCCGCTGATGTGAATTCAAAATGCGCTACCTACTTACTAATCTCAAAAAATTGAAGTAAACAAAAGCTTAAATCAACTGATCCTTCAGAAGTTCTTAGAATACATAGATAAAAGAAGTTTTTTTTAATTTTTTTAGTTCTGATGGTAATACATATTTTTTTTATGTTTGCGGTACCTTTCTAACCCTCTTTCCCAAATTATGGTAAACATTTGTTAACTAAATGTATACCATAATTTGGGGTAGAGGTGGTAGTTTTTTCCAACACTCTCATAATGTTTCTTTAGTGCATTTTAGGCTTAGGTATGTACTTCTTGTGTTGTTAACATACGTTTTTGTATAAAATACATCGTCAATGATACCGTATTTTATGTCTACATAAAATACACTTATCTTGACATTTTCTCAATTTACACAAATTTGTTTATAACAATTTATGAATTTAGTAAAATTTCTCATTCAATATAATAATAGTTATTTGTACAACTAGTTTTGAAAGTTATACTTTTTTTCACGAATTTGCAGGCAAACGAGTGAAAAAAAGGACTTTCAAAACACAACATTTTTTTGCATAGTGATAACCTCAAGAACCCTAAAGGCCAAAAAGATCTCAATTTGATAAGTCAAATCGTAATGTATCGCGAGCTTTTTGTATAACGAACTCTATAGAAATTATAGAAATAACTATAGATAACTAGATATAGAAACCGTTTAAAAAAGTATAATTTAATAATTATAATAATTATTAATAATACGATTAATCGTGACGAAAATTCAACTTTCGTAATCACTATGCAAAAAAATATTTTGAAGACAACATAAGTTTTATAGTTTAAAAATCTCGGTCTAGTAAATTTAAACTAGGATCTCGATTTTTAAACTTTCTAAAACTCTTTAAAACTCTTGTTGTCCTTAACTAAATATTAATATATTGCGCTCTTTAATTTTTTCTTTTAAACAAAAAAAAAAGCTGTCTCTTACATTCTTACGGTTTACACTTATACAGTGTTTCAGAATTCGCACCCCAGAGAAAAATACCAAATGCCAACATATACAAGATTATCGGTATTATTAAATAGACATGAAAAAGATCAACATTTGTCCATGTTCTTGAAATCTTTTCTCATATGGCATTTTTCTCTGAGGCGCGAGTTGTGAGTTCTGTATGATGTGTTACACAGGGTGATTCTTAAATAGACCGACAAAATTTTATCACATCTTCCTAAGGATAAATGGAGACAAACTTTACCTTTTTTGTGTTTATACCTTTTAGGGGCAAAACCCCCTTGATCCGTGCCACTTACGGCGTTTATGAATTGTTGCAATAATCAAGTACGTTAATACCATGGTTACCACTACCTGTGCTAACACATCAGTGGCGTACGCTTTACTTCGAAAATGACTTTAATAAATTTTATTTGAAGAACGTTTAAACAAAGAATATTTTAAATATTTTTTCCAGCATGTTCTCATTTGATACTAGGGATAAAATTTTGTCGGTCTATTTAAGAATCAGCCCTGTATAGTATGTGTGTTTTAATACGGTATTGTAACCTATATCAACACTTGTAATTTGTAGGTATTTTTAAAACAATCGGTAACTTTTGTGGTTTATCTCAAATAAAATTAATTTCATTTATTTGTTTGGTATTTATTTAAATTTGGCGTCATAGTTGGCAATATGAGGGTGTTGTGAACGGACCATAATTTGTAATACGTGTGGCGAGGTGTCAAATGTCAGATTAATAATTTCAATAGAATAGTTCGTTCACAATCAAACTTTCATGGATAGCTTTGACGGCAAATTAAAAAAAAACACTCGTTTTTGAGTTTGGACATTTATGTATTTTGTTTTCTATGTAGTCATGTCAGCGGTTTTTAAGAAAAAAAAAAATTCTTTCCATGAGAATCTTTGTCACTTCATGAAACTTCGACAAGCTTCGTATTTTTGTGAAAAACTTAATTACAGTATGTGATCACAGTAAGTAGACATCAGGGCCGCTCACAAAGTCGCGTACAGTTAGAGACAAAATACTTTGGTCGTCACTTTTCTGACACTTTAATGTAATTCGAGCTTTAATGAATGACAATTTCAAATTAATGACAGCTACTATATCTTTCAATCATAAATATGTACAACTTGTCAATTATTATTGACAGTAGCTAAAAATAAGGTTAACAGTCCTAAAGCATGCTTTACAATTTAATGTCACTCAAGTGACATTGACGACCAAAGTATATTTTGTCTCCAACTGTACCAACTGCGTGGTAYCAACAAAAATTTGAAAAAATTGTGGGCGTGGAAGTTCTTCAATTCACATTATTTTCTTAAAGAGTTTACATACCAGTTTTACTTTAAATAATCATTTTTTATATCAATGACTGATAAATGTTGATTGTAAACACTATCATTTTTTTGTAGTATGTATTTGAATTAAAGAGTATATTAGATATACACATAGGGAGAGAATAGATGCACGATTATCCCTGAGGTGCAATTTATAGTCCGAGGACTATAAAGCACCAGAGTTATAATACCAATTTTCTTCAGTGGCGAGCATTAAATTTTAGTCGTCAATGTCACTCTCTAATATACTCTCTTGTCAAAATTACACAGGGAAACTACTTTTTTGACAAACATATATGAAGTTTCAAAATGACATTACCTACCAAAATTTTATGCTCGCCATTGTACCTATACTATTTGTTTACGTAACTTGAGTTAAGAAACCCAAGAAAGTGGCTGTAATTCTTTAAAAAAAAGAATAATTAGCATAAAGCTAACATGACAAATCGTCTAAAAGTCTAAATCTGCCAGTGTATGCCAACATGTAAAATGAAAATATTATAAAGTTGCGGTCAATTCATAGTGGCCATTTAATTTATTGCAAAGTTGGCAGCCCCTAACCCGCCACCTCTAGTGTGTGGGTTGTGTCATTTTTGATAGATATGTACCTAAAAAAAAAATTGGATGTTTAAAGTCGAATTTACACAACTCAATTTTTACAAATTTACCCAGGGAAGTGGCCACTATGAATTGACTACTAGTATTTTCTTTCTTGTGTGATATCTACTCCGTTTACCAATATATGACAAATTAACAAAATAACAAAAAACAAACACACGACACAAGATGATGTATTTTTAGGCCACATATACAACCTTTTAAGAAATATCTACCTAAATGTACAAGATTAATAAAAGTTTACGAATTATCTATGACGTTGATGTAAATACACTTTTTTCTAATGTTATAAATAATTAGTTTCTTAATGAAATTAAAAACAGGTGCGCCAGAACTCGGGCCCCAGAGAAAAATGCCATGTAAGATAAGATACCAGGAACATGGAAAAAATATTAACAATATTCTATCTATAAAAATTTCGAAGTTATGAGAGTCTAAATTTTGCACTTTAACTCTATTTATTTCTGTTGAAAAAATAATTTTCCAAGTTTTTTGCTACAAGCTATTAGAAGAGGAAACAAGAAAGCTGTAAAATTTGTGTACCTTTACTAAATAATTATAAAAAAAAAAACATATACAAGATCATCAGTATTATTAAATAAATATAAATATAAATAAGTGTCAAATATCAAAAAATAAATTCAAAATTTTTTGACAAATAGAATTTTTTAAACATTTTTTCCATGTTCTTGGTATCTTATCTTACTTTTAAATTTTCTCTGGGGCACGAGTTCTGACACCCTGAATGTTATGTAGGCAGGTAAATAACCAATTTCTCAAAGGTGTCGCTAAGTAAATTGACGAAATTGAACAAAGTAAATAAGCAAAATATCCAATTTGGTAAAGTTTACCTTTACACGCACAGCCCGTCCCRTATCCCAACCCATCCACCCTCTGTCGGTSTCGTGCCCTGCGGTCCCGGCATCGGCCCATCATCATCCATATCGCCGGCTCCATGCTCGTTAGCTGTAAATATTTACGAGACGTTTAACATTCATGTGTATGGACAGTAACAAGAGGGATAATTAATGAATGCAAGGCCGCGCTCCGCCTATGGGTTGTCCCATATGGATACCGTCCCATCTCGTACCTCGCAACACCCGACCACAGTAACTTCCCCGCTTTATTGACTGACGGTGTAGCTCGGTGGAGCTGCACGTTTCGACACCTGCTACTCTAATACATAAACTAAAGTGATAATTACACACGACGAGACGGACAAATTATACGCTGTGTTCCGAAAATAAACGGCACGCGTGTGTGCGCCGCAGTGATGATGCATGGGTGATGTGAAAGTGGACGGATGGGACGAAGCATGGGACCGCCGGACGCATGGGACTGTAAGTGCTAACATGAGAACAAAACTGATTGCAAAAATCCAAAAGTTATTCTCACTGTTTTCGCATCTGCTTAAACCACACTGTATCATTGACAATATCAATAACTGATATAAATTTACTCTTAAAACGTTTTCGCATTTTTGACTCACACTGTATATCTGTCTAAGTAGTGAATATATTTCAATTGTTTATTTAGCATTTTCTTTTTTTTTTGGTCTATTTACAAAACACCCTGTATAGAAGTAAGTGTTTATTCTGTTGTTTATTCATTTTTTAGAATAATTTTTCTCTCTTGAAAAAATAAAATTTTCACTTTAATTGTAAATGTAATAATAAATATTATGTTTTTGTGTGAAGTCTTTAGTGTTAAAAAAAATTATATGTTAAACACAGGAAGAAAGTTTTTTCTTCCTTCACCTTCAGCTCTTGTAATAATAAACAGCACTCTTAAGAATAACTTTTTTCCCTTGTACACAAATATAAGTACATAACTAAGTATTAGGTAACTCAAAAACTCAAAACACATTTCATTTTGCCAACTTCTCTATCATTGTATCAAATGTGCTCTTCAGACATTATGCACTGTATGGAAAAAATTAAATCTTTGAAATGATGTCAAAAATTGTTAAAGAACATGACAATGTTGACTTTTTTATATTTTTGATACATCGTGTAAAAAAAACTTAATTTTGATTATTCTTAATTACATAAGTCAAAAATCGACTAGGTATAAAACATACCAAAAATTTATTTTTATTCTTTTATATCTAATAAAAAAGTAGTACCTACAAGTACCTACAGCAAATTTTAAAAGACAATAATTTGGTGATTGTAATTGTAATTAAATTACTAAAAAAAAAATCCATCCAGTTTGTAGTTACTTATACCGGGTGGGGCATCCGTTACGCCCAAAAAGAAAATCCCCACTTCTAATTAAATAAAATTGTTGAATTTTTTCACACTTACCTGTTCATTAGTAAGGTACATTCTCTAATTTTTTGGTAATTTTTCATTCACAAACAAAGCCAAAAAAAAAAATAAAAAGTAATTTTCTCCCAAAAAATTTAATTCTAATTTTTATACTGACCTACGCAGATTCACTTCCTACAATTGTTTACAAAATCAGAAAAAAAAATACCAATTAGATTTTGAATTAAACGCAATTTTCCATCATTTTTATTTATGACCTGCTACTTGTGCCATCGTAAATTTAGGTGACAATGGGGTAAGATTCCAAGGTTTATAACAAAAAGACCYTTTAAAACGATCGGCTAGCAGTAAATGATTCTTTTGTTGGCAAATTATACATACCACTTTGTCATAAATCACGGATCTGGTTTGTGTTTAAATAAAAAAGCGATTATTTGGCTAACCAAGTCAAAATTTGAAATTGTGATATCAAAGTTTGATGCGCTGACAGGTACAGATTAATTTAGTGTAAAAACTTTATAGGTAAATTTACAGAAAGTATTCATAAAACACAAAAAACTGTTACGGACTCATTTATTATCCAAAAAAATTAGAAAAATTCTCAAATTATACCCTAGCAATAATTAGTTAGGTATATGAAATATCGCCAGTTTTAATTAATTTGAAGTAGCGGTTTATCAAGTGCGCGTAACCGATGCCGATGTATATTAAAAATATACCTATAATACTCCTATAAATTATTACATTTACCCAAATTTGAATATTATTAAGTTTTAAAAACATAACAAGAGTATTGTATTGTAGTAGGTAATTGTGTAGTAATACATACAGGGTGTTAAAAAAAGATTGTAAAATATTCAAGGAGGTAATAGGTATGAACTAAAATAAACAAAAAAAATTTTGACAGATAGAATTTTTTAAACATTTTTTTCATGTTCCTGGTATCTTACCTTACTTGAAAATTTTCTCTGGGGCGCGAGTTTTGGCGCAGCCTGTATAACCTTGGTAGGTAACCAAGAAACACGTCAAATCATACTTTTTTGGCAATTTTCTTTGGATCAGGATAAAATAAAAGTCATTACGACAACGTCTGGTAAGCTTCTTATACGGTACCACCTCGACATTCCATATTTCGATGTAGTGTATGACTTTCCAAACTTATAACATAAATTACTATACAGGTGATCCAGAAGTCTGGAAACGATTTTTTTCTGGCGAAACTATCAATTTTTTTGGCAAATAAATTTATAGGTGCAAAGGCTATAAAAATGTTATTAGCAAAAAATGAATATCAATTATTTATTTATACTTTCGAGATAAACATAGTAACTTTTTTTTTTTAATAGAAACCTACCACATTTTTTTTCTAGACAACGAGCTTGTTACAAGAAATATTGCTGTTTTGGTCCATACTATTACCTCTTAAAATATTTTATATTCTTTTTTTAACAACCTGTATTTTGCAACCGCAAATTCTACATCAAAAAACAATACTAACAAAAAAAAAAAAAACAGTGAAGTGCCTGTACGCATGTCATTGGTAAGAGTAGAAATAAAGTAATTGCTGGAGAATAAGCGCTTTCACCAGCTTACAAAGCCTGTAAAATTTTATGAAAATCCACTCATTTGGTTTGTGAAGAACTAAAATGGATTTTAATTTTTATCTTGGCACTTTATCACTTTGTATATTGATAACTAATTATCGTGTATTTGACAAATTAGAGTTATTTTTTCTATGTGAATATCTATCGTTGCAATTTTTCGTAACACGTGTATTAAGAAAACGCCAAAATTAAAATGTTATGATTTGCTAAAAAGTTAACAATTGAAAATCTGTATTCAAAATGGCCCACCAGTGTATTAATAATACACCTCTACTTGCTGTTTTATTTGCATAAAAAATTGTCCTATTTTATCAAAAATTTATGACAGCATTTGAACAAGTTATTTGAATATCTAGATGGCGCCATTGCGTTTGTACTCGACTAAACAGGTTGAAATTTCTAAAATATGTAAAGCCTGTTTTGAAACAAATTAGATTTTAAATGAGTCAAAATTATCCAAATATCTGTGATAAATAAGAGAAAACTCCCAATAAAAGTCAAATTGTAGAAACATTCAGTAATTATTCACCCTGTAAATAAAATTTATTGATTATAAAATAACACACTCTGTACAATCGCAGCAACTTACATAATTTCTGAAAAAAATATATACACAATCAAATATATATCTGAAAATTATGTAAATCTAGTCATGAATATAAATTATCTTAAGCCTTTTCTCGAAAATATTTTTCAAAATTGAATCTTTTAATTAAATCTTTATTTATTTGTTTATGTAATAAAGTGAGGATTAATTAAAACGTCCCGGTGACAGTTTTATCGCCCCTAACCTTGAATATTTTTTCTCCAGGTGAACCTTTAAAAATCCGTCCATCCACTAGCTGATAACTCAATCAGCCTAGACAGTTAGGCTCGTAAAATAAATCAAAAAAAGTTTGCGCTCGTTTAACATTTATTACACTTGGTACAGTTTAGCATAAATACATAATTATTAGTGTACGCGTTTATTTAAATTTTGCAAGCTATATATTATAATAGCGTCGAGCAAGATAAGGACACTACTTACGGCCTATCGCGGCGTAATTATGTTTAATTAGTGCTGTTACACTGTTTGTTTTGATAAATTTTTAAAGCCGACTGCCTCTAAGTACTTGGACATAGCGAACACTTTGCTGCTTTCGTCGTTAGAAATGCAGTTATTAAAACTAGCATACTTGTTTAAAATAATGCATTATGCATCGGGGCAACAAAGTACTTGAAAAAAATCAACACTAAAATTTAATGAGCTGGAATAAAAGTTTCATTTAATGCCAGGATAATGGACGGGGTAATAAATGGCTTCCTTAATTAGATGGCAAAAAAGACAGTAATTTAATTAGAAATGCTTCCTGTTACGATCAACTGATGCAAAAATTACAGAAAAAAAAACAGTTTGAAAATAAATAAATAAATAAATAATAAATTACATTTGTATTAGCAGCAAAAACTTTTTCCAATAAGAACTTAGTTTATTTTTCATATTGATACATTAATTTTTTATAGGAAAAATTGCATATTTTTAGAACACGTTGTATAATAATTAATTAATTAGAATTTGAGTGTCAAATAACATTTTACATCCTACTCAAATTTATTAATACACTCAACTACTCGTTTGTTATTCAGCGATTAATAATTTCGACAATTAGTGGGTTCGCAACATCAAAATGCTTGAGTTGTTAATTACTCTTATTAACAAATTTCTTCGTTAATTAACAATAAATAATAATGATTTATTTTTTATAAAATGAACGAACCATGTTGGTTGAGAAGTCTGGAAACGATTTTTTTTTTTGGCGAAACTATCAATTTTTTTGGCAAATAAATTTATAGTGTGATGGTTATAAAAATGCTATTCAAAAAAAATTGAATATTAATTAATTGTTTATACTTACGAGATAAACATAGTAACAATTTTTTATTTAAATGGAAACCTACCACAATTTTTTTTCTAGACAACAAGCTTGTTACAAGAATTGTTGCTGTGCAAAAATTTTTTCTTGTAAACGTAACATTTTTTGTTAAAAAACTGTTTGACTTACAAGTATTAAAGAATTGTTTTTGAGTAAACTACCAGTTTTTTTTTAGAAATAAATTAATTAATGTTTAGTAAATTTAAATTAATAAAGATTGTAAAGAAGCGATGCCAAAATATTTTTTATTTTAATTAATTGTTTAAACTTTTTTTAAACAAAAACTGTTAGGTTTATTAAACAGCAATATTTCTTGTAACAAGCTCGTTGTCTAGAAAAAAAATGTGGTAGGTGTTTCTATTAAAAAAAAAGTTATATGTTGATAGTTTCGCCAGAAAAAAATCGTTTCCAGACTTCTGGATCGTGCTGTATAGTAATTTATGTTATTAGTTTGGAAAGTCATACACTACATCGAATTATCGACGGTGGTACCGTATAAGAAGCTTACCAGACGTTGTCGTAATGACTTTTATTTTATCCTGATCCAAAGAAAATTGTCAAAAAAGTTTGATTTGACGTGTTTCTTGGTTACTTACAACGAAGGTTATATTTACCGGCTGTGATACTGTAATAGTTCAGTTACTTGTATGTGTACTTAAATAAATATTTTTTTTTGTAAAACTGAAGAAAATGTTATTTAAGAAGCTCAATATTGAGATTCAAACTAATAACATGAGTAATTCTAATCACTATTTAGAGGTGCAATGCAACTACCCACTTTTAGGGAGGGTATGTTTTTTAACTTTTGTTTAAAAAAAAATATTACACACAAAACCGTTTTAGTAATTTTAAAAATAGCAAAAATAAATGTCATTACACTCATTAGACAATGTATAACAAGCGAGTCCGATTTCAGCTGTCACTTGACCCAAATAAGCGTTTTAATTAAATTTCTCAGTCGCTCAGTCGAATGGCTGAATTTTTCTTTACCATTCTTCAATTCAACACCAATACGTCTGTTAAAATGTCTTTTAAAATGCCCCCATTAATTAAAATAATCAACCGGCAAAAATACTTACTCACCAATTATCGATAAGGCAAATTACCTAAATAACCATAATTGTGTTAGACCAGTAGGAGATAAGCCACCTCCGCAGCCCTCGAAATCACCCATTTTCCACATGGAAGCTAAAAAAAACCGTATAATTACCGTATCGCAAATATGCAAATGTTTTTAGTCCCCGTATTATTACAATTTCAAATTTTTGTTTAATTACGTTAATCTTATCGTAAATTGCAAAAAAATTCGTCTGCCTCGAAATAGGTTTATGACATAACTTTTTACCTTCCAGGTAACTAATAAATGCACCGAGACCTTATCAAAGGAAGCCATTTCGACTGCACTCGTAGTTTTTATCTAGTGACTCATGGATAGTGAGTGTGTCGAAATGGACCTAAGCACGAGGCAGAGAGACCCGCAGGATAACGCCAAGATGAGGGTCGCCAAATCGGTCTTCTCCATAAGGAGTCTCGTCGATCTGGGCGACGCAGCCGATGCCCCCGACGACGACGCCCCAAAAGGTAAACTCCGAACCCAAATTTTGTTAAAATACATTAATTTTTTATTTTGTTAAAATACATTAATTTTTTCTCACTCTCTAACGATCCAACCACGAGAACTATAGTAAGTCATAAAAATTGGTTTTTGACTTACAATGGCTCATGTAGAGCCGAAAATACAAAAACAATGAGAAAAATTTTCTTTCAATAAAGAATATTATTACCAAAATTTAGACGCTCAGCAATTGTCAATAATATTAAACAGTTCCTTGATTTTTTATTAACAATCAAAGATTCAATGCAATTTTTCTCAAAACTGTAATTCTTGAGTTACTATAGTTTTTGTTGGGAGAGTCGAAAACTATCGGAACTTAATTTTTGATCAATGTGACCTAAGACTTGCAAATTTTTTATATCGGGTAACTGCAAATCAATCAATCAAAAATCTCTTGTCAATATCTATTGAATTATTGACTCTAAAATTGTAACGTTTGAATTTGACGACCACAATCGCAATCATAACTTCTGTTTCTGCATTATTTAACTTTAATTTCTAAGTCATGGACCACTTTAAGCCACCTCGAATATCTCAGAAACTAAAAAAGCTTTGCAAAAACGCCCAAACAGGTCAATTTTTTTCCGAGGGGAACATTCTTTGCCGTAATTTTTAAAGCACTCTCAGTAACTCTGTAACACCCACACACCCCAACTTTAAAAATTTTAATGGCACTACCTCACTTGTGGCACATCAAATGAAAGCTATTTGAACAAGCTTTCCAAAATTTTTACCAAAATTGAATCAGACTATACATTCATGAGATACTGGGTGTTTTAATAAAAACAAACCTTCCTAATTTTTGTTTAAGGGGGACATTTTTTGACGCAATTTTAAAAGCAGCCCCACTAACCCTTTAACCTTTATGCCACTTAACTCTAAAATGACAAATAGCACTAGTGATACATGAAATAAAATGTCTACAAAAAAAATCTTTCAGCAGTCAGTATGTACAAAGGAACTTAAGAACTATTACTATTTTTTAGGTACATCACCCAATAAAGAAACAAAAATAAGTCACAGCTCCAATAATAATTATTACAACATTAGTAAGTTTCTTGTAATTTATTTTAATAGTTTTTATTAGAAGAAATTACTAATTAGAAACATTATTTTTTGGATATCTCATGAATAATTAATCCCATTCAACTTTAGAAAAAAGATTCAAAGAATATTTTGAGTGAGTCTGTGTCATTTGAGATTACGGAATTGAGGTGGAAGCGAGGAAGTTAAAGGGTTAATGGGGGTGCTTTTAAAATTGCGTCAAAAAATGTCTTTTTTAAAAACAAAATTAACCTGTTTAGGGATTTTTTCTAGGGTAGTTTGTTTTTTTTAGAAGAATGGATGGTCTGGTTCAATTTTGATAAAAAATCTTAAAAAACTTGTTAAAATAGCTTTTCAAAGTTAGACTGTGTGGAGGTTAGGGGGTTACTGGAAATGCTTTAAAAATTACGTCAAAAAATGTCCCCCTCGGAAACAAAATTGACCTGTTTTGGCGTTTTTGAAAGGTTTTTTTAGTTTCTGAGATATTCGGGGTGGTTCGTTTTCATTGGGCCACCCTGTATAACAAAAAACATGAAATGAAAAAAATATTGAAAAAAGGAAAAAATACTTTTGAAAGAAATGTTTTTGAACAGCTGTTAACGAATTTTTTGCCCGCTAACGGTGTGGAGCCCCAGTTTTGCAGGCATGACAGTGTTTTGGTCCTGTGGTCCAGTGCTTTTTGCAAATCGAGTGTGCGCTGGTTGATAATGAAAAGTGTCGCAATTTCACGGCCAACAGCGATGCGCTTGTGTTTTTGCGAAATTGCAGGTCCGTCTTGCGTATAATTTTGCCATTTATTACGTTAACGTAATTGAATTCGTTTAGTACTGATTGTAACAAGAGTTGGTCGAAGTTTTGATGAAATTAATGTTCACAATTAGACTAGACACGCATTTCAGTCACGAGAAACAGCTATTCTCCAGTTGGTTATACTCACAATGTTCGGTAAACATAATAAACTTAACTAACTACCTCTGTTCCCATTAGATATGCATTTCAAACGCGAATAAAACTTTATTGGTGAGTTGGGTTGCTACATAACTATGATCGATTCTAGTTTCAATCACGATTAACAAATTACCAGACTCTGGCGGACTTTCATTTTCCGTTATGTTAGTGGGACTGACACGAATGAACCGTTTCATTAATTGACGGACTTGATGCTATTCTGTGCCAACTCAAACAAAAAATTACATTTTACACTATCTACCACTCTCCCCTACATGAATGAATCGACTTCTGGTTTTAAAATATCATCCACACAATATTTTTTTACTACCTAAATTTTCGTGGGAGGGAAGGAAAATTTCAAACATTTGAAATCGTCAAGCCCTTTTTTGCATCAGTATCGTGTAATAATTATAAAAAAACTTTGTTGTATTTTTTAACGGGCATTTTTCTTCTAATTGCAGGAAAATATGCCTTGATAGTAGCTTTTATTATAATTATTTTATTTTTGGCCAATAGATAAGTATTGACGTAATGACGGCAAAGTTATAATTTTATCGTCTTGCCCTTGCATTTGATTAAAATAAATTTTTATTAATTACCGCTCGCCTAATTACATTGTAAATTCCACGATTTAGCATTTTAATGAACAGGATTACATGAATCAGCATTCTTCGCGTAATTAATTATGATTTTTATAAAGGGCAAAATTACTCATTATAATTTATTAGCCATTTCTAGTAAAGCTCCGGATTTTTCTCCGTGAGAACACGTTATGCCTGTTGAACTCTTAGCCAACACTTTCAATTCGTTTCGAAAACGGCAAAACTAATCATCTTCAACCCGACAATTAATTAATTTAAATAAACCGTGAGCATGCAATTTACTGACAATAACTGTTCTTGGCATTTTTATCGAAAAAACCACAAACGGTTAAGCCCGGATCTAGGTTTTTTCCCGCGCTTTAAAAGCTATAAATTTATTGCCGGACTCTAATTAATTGGAGGCTAATTACTTCAGCGTTTGCATGAATTATTAATATTGGATTACGCTAATTAGGGATAATGCGGCGTGAACAAATTCGGACAAATTTAATTCAATTTGTGACGTCACTATAAAAGCATTTGCCGATAATGTATTTTTAAAATTATAGCAATTATTACCTGTGACATTTATGCATTCGTTATGTGATAAGAAATAATTTTCAAACACATATTTATTGCTAAATTGAAAGCTATATAAGCAGATAACGTCCATTGCACAATAGACGCACATATTGTATGCAATTATATTATTTTTAGTATTCCGCATGACATAAATATTGATAATAAATTTGTTTCTTTTTATTTATTTTAAATGCATAAATTAAGTATCTTGTTAGAAATTGTTTTATTGCGGAAACGGTCGTTTTGTGGTCGATAGAGGGCGCTTCTTTTCTAACCTCACTTCTTGCCTGTTGCTTAGCAACAACTTATGATTTATAATTAACCGTTTTGATTTTGTTATTTTTTTATCAAGACCTCCTACGCTCTCGCACTGGGTGCGTGTCAGGCGCAAAGCAAGATGGCGTCCCTTTGTTGTCCCTCGCCGACTGCGATCGTAAACTAATTGACGTAATGCCTCAAGCAACGTTCCTTATTCTTGATTAGAATTTACGATCGGCGTTTAATGCGTATACTTCGAATTAAGTTTATTATGATTTTAATATCGAGTGGGCCATGCTAATTCCTTCATCTCGCTTAATTAGGTTTATGCGCGAGTTAATTACGATTTATGCGTTTCGGTTTCCGCGATCTTTTCGTCCGTATTTGAAAAACGTTTTAATTAGGCGTTTTATTGATCTCCTGTTGGCGAGGGAGCTTGTTCGAAGGCGTGAGCCATACAAAGTACACAAAGCGCCAACTAACAAGCTGTTATATTGCTTTATTGTTGGATTCCTCGTTTTATTTTACAAGTTGGTTACTTTAATTGGCCGTATAAAGTCATTATAGGATGATTAACATTGATTAGGCCTTTGTTAAAAATTATTTGATGAGCGCGCCAATATTTTATGCGCCGGGGTTTGATGACGAGAGCTTTTATTGGATTTAAGGTCGTTGAAACTCACAGGAAAAAGCCACGAAGTGAACTCTGATCCCATACTAATTAAAGAATTAATATATTTAAAAAAAGTACAATGTATAAGAGGGTAAAGTGAGACTAAATTTTTCTGGTTTTGGTTGTTGTTTTGTTTATTTAACCATATAAATCTTAAAGCTATATGGGAGAAAATCTTTACGAAAATTTACTATTGAATGTGAGTACGTCACTGCCCACTGACCATGAGCGTTGAAACTGTAATGGAAAAAGGGAGGTTTTAATTTTTTAACTCTGGCTCTGCAATTGATTTTAATAACGTCTACACCTTTCCGACATGTACAAGGCTAAATATTATTGTGTATTTTAAAATCACTCTGTATATCTTAGTCATCACAAAAAATACAGTTATATAGATATTTTTTTGGTGTTTTTAGTTTACTGTATTTTTCAAATCACAAAATGTGAACATTCAGATTCGTGTAGATTTTTATGTAGATCGAAATATGTTGATTTATAGTAGGTACCTAAGTTTTTATACTCATTCAAAAAGACCGTACCATTACTTTGGGCGGTTTTTAGAACTATCTAGTTAGCCTCAAAATTGCGAATAAAAATGTACCAACCTTCGTTGGTATTTTTGTTTTGTTTTGTTAGCAGCGTCATTACCAACTTGCTTCAAAAAAATATTAATTTATATGCCAGGTGAACAGAAAGTATGCAACTAAAGGTTTTTGAATGAATGATAAGGTACAATAAAATTGTAGACGGTTCCGAAAAATAAAATTTTTCGAAATGTTTTTGTCTTTGAGTTTTGCAAAATAATTGTTGAAATGGCAATCCACTTTAAAACCTTTTTTTTTACAAAGGCTATGCTTTAAAGATTACAACTATTTAT